TAAAATTTCATATTTGCAATTAATTTAAACATATTTAAAAGAAGAAGGAAAAGGAATCAAATTTCAGAGAAATATCTTACGACTTTCATTAACACAGTCATCAAAAAATAGTAGAAAATAAATTAATAAATTGTATTATTAATTTCTTCATTGAATCCAAATTTTACATGCATACTCTTCCCATAGATGAAATAAATAAGATAAGTAGTACTATGAACTATAATTTTTATTGTTTTCACTGTAGAGAAAACATTAATTATATATATATATATATATATATATGTATATATTTATTTCTACACATGCACATGAGAAATCTACATTTATATATTTTATTTTCTCGTATGAGACATCTTTGCAAATAATTAATAATTTGAAATAATTGAATCTGATCACGAATATAGGCGTATATATAAAACTTCTCTAAACTAAATTGAATTGAATCTCTTAAATATATATTTGAATTTGGCTATGAGAAATTATCATTTGAAAGTAAATTTTACGGATAAGTTTTTCAAACGATATGGGCAAGAATGTACCTCCTAACAAAAATGAAATCTACGTATTTGAAATATTTATTTGTATGTTTTTATCTTTAAGCTCTTGTTTCTATAGATATGGCAGTTGCTTAAAGTTTGGTCAAATTTGCATTTTCTACTACAAACGTACTTTAAGGAACAGACAGACATCATCGATAAATAGAATGTTTAATGTATGAAATAAATATTGTAAATAAACAAAAAGCCATCTCCAACAGTCATATCTGGCATTCAAGCGAAGATCTATCACCAAGAAAAGTGGTTAAATCGTTTTAATCCTGTAAAAAGAAATAATTCAACTCTTATGCCACATGACTATCGGGCGATAGATTCAATTTGATATTGTTTTAAAATTTAACATTTATTGTACAAAAAAAATATCTGATATGTACATCAATTGCATTATATCTCTCTGTTACTCCCCCTCTCTCTCTCTTTCTCTCTCTGTCACTCTTTCCCTAATTCGTACATACGCACTAATGCAATTATACACTCACACACACCTTTGCAAAAGGGCACAAGTGACATAAATGAAAGAAAAGGTACTTTATTAACAGAGTCATGCAATATCTTTGTTCAATTTGTTTTTTATCGCAACTTGGATGATGTAAAGGACAGAGGATCTTTATTTTTATTATTATTCAATGGGAATCTCAGCTAGGTACTATGGTTCATATATATATTTATATTTGTCTTTCTTTTTATTTATAAATGTAAAATATACATCTTTGCCCAATAATAACCTAGCCATATAACTCCTTAAATCGAAAAAATGTGAAGAACTAATATGCCGTGACTGTATGTCGTACCTGCACCACATCTAATCAATATTATATCAGACATTGAAGATTTTATTTAATGTCTTTTTGTTTGGAGGTAGGGAAGGAGATGATCCTAACAACCTAATACCATAAATCGTCAAAAAAAACAATGTATTTTTTTGTAAATAAAGTTGACAATTTTTACTAAAAACGTCATGCTCACAAAAATTACAATTGAAAAGTAACGAAATTAATATAATAAAGAATATTATATTATACATCTCGTATTTACTCGTATTGTAAGATAATTCTTTCATTAAAGAACAATTTATTCAAAAATAAATCTGATAGCATGATTGACTTATTGTTTTGTCTCATTAGATTTATTCTAATATGAAGACAAAAATGTTGGATAATTAACTTTGAAAATTTCCCATTGAAAGATTTTTAAAAATATTCACCTATGTACCCATATAATTATTATTATTTGTCTATAAATAATATAAAACAAGAAGGAGAAGAGAATGATAGTCACAGTCAATAATATCCTACCTACTGCAAAGATGAATGAATTGATAACAGTGGCGCAAGAGACATAAGGACTAATGAGGTGGATGCTATACCTGAGTCCTCTAATTGCTTCTTTGTGTGCTTGGAACATCTTCACATTGTTCATGTTGCTCTGCCAATATTTAACATAACCCGCATGATCTCCTGTCACCATCCAGCTCTCGTTGTGCGACCATACCATTGTTCTTACAGGACTGTCATGTGCCTGAACAAACACGTAAACATTTGTGTAATAAATATTTAATCCCAGTATGCATATAAAATATGCAGAAATTAACTATTTGTTTAATTATAAATATTAGTACGAATTGATAAACTTATAAATTTCTTCATCTTCAAAAATCTAATAAAATATTGTGCATATTTTATATGTATTTTATTATAGAAATCAAATTTTCATTTCATTACTTATAGCATACCTGAAGAATAGTTTCAAAATTAAATGTAAGACCGTTCCACAAAGTAAATTCGCCGCTAGATGCTCCGGTAACTAAACGTCTACCTTCCGGTGTCCATGCCATACAAAATATCGGGCAACGCATTTTATTAGTAGCAGTCTTTACAAATCTCGTAGTGACAGCATTAATTGGATTGTCGATATAACTTGGAGGTGGAAGAAGATCGGGATAATATATGACATCTGGTTGAAGAGCACGTCTGTCCCTGTAATCTCTTTGCCATACACGGTTCTGTACATAAAAAAATGTATAACTATATGTTAGATGTGTGTTTACATATATAACTGTATAACTGTATTTTAGATGTGTATATTACATATGTAATAATTAATCAATTCAATATATATTGTAATTTTGTAAATGTTAGCAATTATTATCATGTTTTGTTAAAATTATTTGGAATTACCTCTAAACTTTTAATAATAGCTGAATTATAGTCAACCGTCTTTCGCATAACAGATTTTCTAAGTCTTTTTCCATCAAATTCATCTTGTAAAGTATCCTGACCGCCAGCTACTACTTTAGGGGCGTGATACGGTCTGAACGGTTTAAAAAAACCACGATTTGCCTCTCTATGATTGGTATATCGATGTTGATAACTTCCAGAGGTATTTATGGTTGTTAAATTAGGAGGTGGTGCTGATAAATTTGGTGCAGATGGTGGTGGTACTGACATGTTAGGCAAACTTATTGCCGGTGAAAGATTCGAGAATTGAGTATTGGTTGACATTTTCCAAATATTTTATTTACAGCTTACTCTATAATAATATTAAATATCCTAATAGGATGATTCGTGAATAAAATAAAAGACGAACATTTTTAAAAGCAGCTGTTTAAAATTCGCATGTCAACAAATCCATATCCTCATTTAATTCTGAAATGAAAAATCAATTAAATCTATTATAATATGGAAATATCAACTTTTATAAGTAATTGATTTTATTTATATAATATTCATTACATGCATGAAAAAATTATTATTAGGATATATAATTTTTTTGCAATAATATTATACTGCGCAACAATGAAACATAAATAATTCAAAGATAATATGTAAAATAATAGAGAATTTATAATTTGTTTAATGTATAAAATAGATTGAAGTAAAAAATATATAATATATATGACAAATATAAAATAATTTATAAATTAATTATGTTAATTTAAACTAACGTGTGTTCCTCAGATTTATATACCTCAACAAAACTTTCAACTTTCTATCTTAATGTTAGTTGAAATATAAGTTAAAGGTTAGATTATAAAGTCTGTTACAAAATTACTCCGTTGCTCGTTAATTTATTATTATTCTTGATAAAAATAATAAATTATCTTGAATATGAAAAATAACAGTAGCCAAACAACCTGCTGTTTTCCTTGTGATGTAATTTTTCAGGCTTTATATCACCATACGCTCATAGAACAATTAATCCCTTTTCACGATTTGAAAATATATGTGAATATATTATATATGTGTATATATATATTATATACACATATATTTATTCTAACGTTGAACACTTTAAATAAAAAAGAGAAAAAAATAATGTTGAAAAATATAAAACATCTGCATTAGATTCTAACTCGAACACGTCGAATAAACTACAATGGATTACCAGAAATTAAATTCTATCTCTCGTCACGGACGCTACTACAGTTTTCGGGCAACGACATCCGCTATACTTCCTCTAATACATATTTCCAGATCGTGTCTCTCAAATCAAATTTATTTTTATGCATTATTTGCATTAACCAATAATGATCACTACATTTTGCAACTGTCCATGGGTTCTTTAAATTCATTGGCCGATTGAATTTTGTTATTTACATTGACGAATAGGAATACATTATGGTGAAAATGTCCCTAAATCTTTTACTATAGTTTAACGTTGATTGGACGCTTTGTTGTACTGTGAAAAAAGCATTAATTACTAAACTTCTTCAAAAAATGAATTTTATATATATATATATATATGAAATATATATGCGAAAATATATAAAATATCTCGTATATGCGATATCCAAATGTAGTTATTTATAATTTTGTATTGAGATTTCCTTATGTCATCAATACACGTGTGTAAAATAAAAAATTATAAAATTACGTATTTAAAGACTATTGTCATCAATTTTAAGCAAAAAAATTTATATTGTTTTACATAGAATAATAATAATTAATTATAAATTTATAAATTATCATTTATACAATAGCCAATTTGTATCGATGTATATCGATTATTTAAATAGATAAATATGTAATATACATAAGTGAGATTAATATACGACACGTGCAAATATAAAATTATTGATACTTTTAACAAGAAGAGAGATAAAAACAAATACAAAAAAAAAGTTGTGTAATTAAATAAACGTAAAACTAAAAAGTAATCATTCAAATAAAAAATTTTAATATTTTAGCATAAATTTCTCTAGAAATATTAAAATATTATTGTTATATATTTAAAATTCGAGTTTTTTCCAAATGTATAGATATATATCGTTGAACAAATTAGCACATTTAAGAGATTTATTTATGCGAAAAATTACGAAAAAAAGATATTTTAGCATAGATTCACGTTCTAAATTTGTAATAGTTTATTATGATGCAATTTGATTTCAGCCAATCGGAGATCTACATAAGTTTCGTGCTTCTGCCGCAATTGAATAATGTGGCAGCACTTTACCATTGTTACATCAGGCAAGGACATGCTAATGGGTAATGGCTTTTGCTTATTCGAGCTATCTTTATGATTAAACCAAATACAATCCAAACTGAAATACATGAGATATGATGCATCGGATATTAAAATCATAAAAATATGATTGTCTAAACCTTAAACTGTTGCGATAGATATATCCTTATAAGATTGAATCTGTGGGCCTACGTAATATGTGTAAAAACTTTAACTGAATCAACGAATGTAACCGTTATATTCATCGCTACGTTGGATCAGTCCGATGAAAAGGATCTCAACTTACAGCACGATATCACAAGATTTATATCATACGTAAGTACATATTATCAATCGATGTGTGTTATCTGTGTATTATTCATTGTTAAAAATTATGTCTTAAGTATTTTCTTTCCTGATCGTGAAAATCGGGCAACTCCCTTGTGCTACTGAGTTCTTCGCAATGGCGGCTGTTCTTCGTCTATTGAAAAATTCCGTGTTCTTGATGTAACTGTTGAAAAGTGGATATACTAGTGTAATGAGTTACAATATATTTTACAACTAATTTGATGACTCTTGTATAATGTTAAAACGTCATTAATAAGTCGATGGATTCGATCTATGGATATCTTCTTCCGCAATATCATGATGTTGAAGTGCACTGCGCGCGCGCGCACCTGTGTGTTTATAACTCTCATACATTCGCGTGTATATAACGTGTAAGTGCTTCTTTATACGTGACTATCGACTTAGAAATAAAATAAAAAAAGAAAAAAGGGGGAAGAAAGTATGTGGTTAAATTTAAAGATAACTTTTCTCTTCGATCTTCAATGGAATAAAAATATCTATTTTTTATAATCATTTATATTTAATAAATAATAATTAAGTATAATTTATATTTTTGGATTTAATTGCTGTTCAAGAGTAAGCATTTGTTTCATTCAATAATTTTAAACTTATACAAAATTAAATACACATATTCAAAATTAGAATTAAACAATATCAATGATATATTTATGTTCATCAAACAAAACATATTTATCAAACATTAATTTTGTATGAAAGAAAAAATTGGAGAAAGTATGTTTAATGTTACGGTAACCAAATTCTGTATGATTTTTATGAAATATCTTTAAATATCTATCTTCTACCTTTATCTGTTTTCATTATTAGATATATAGTTTATATAAATAATAATATTTTATTTTAAGCTTATTAATATATAATATATTTGTAATAATTATAATTAATTGATAAGTAAGTTTCATCTGTATAGAGAAAATTAACAATATTATTAAGTTGCTTCTGAAGTAAGGATATTTTTGATTTTAGAAGGTGACATGCCTAGCAGTCGCGACATCGAAAGAGGTGAACGTAATGGGAGATTTAGATCACGGAGGAGAAGTAGTGCAGGCAGTGATGTAAACCGTCATAGCTTTGAGAGCTCTGATAAAAGCAGACACAGACGGCATGGGAAGAGTAAAAGTTCTGGTAAAAAAAAGAAGAAAAGGTCACGCGACAAATCTTTAGAAAGCGTACCAACTGTAGCCTCTTCTATCGTCAAACCATTGGTTGAATATTCCGATGTAAGTAGCGAAGATCTATCTGAACCAGAAGCAGGAGAAATTCAATCAGAGGATAGCAGAGGTAATAGTTATACAGACGGAGATGTACCTGAAACTGTTCTGCAAAGGACGTATTACAGAAATAGTCCTCAAAGAACTCTTGGGGCATCACCAATTAGTCTTTCACCTTCTCCTCCAGTACAGCACAGACATTCTAATAGACATTACTCGTCAAACGAGCAACAACCTGCAACAAGTATGCACAGTGGAACGCCAGAATATGAGGAAGAATCTAGACGTTATCCTAGAAGGAAAGAGAAGAAACATAAACGGGAGAAAAAGAAGAAAAGAAGTTTAAGTCCATCTTCTAGTATAGGTAAAAAGAAGAAGAGAAAATCTAAACGATGTTCTCGTAGCCTTAGTCCACATATAACTGAAGAAGTTATAATCAGTCCAGATCATGAAAAGCCAGTTGAAAATTGGTCAGAATCCCCTCCTTTACCTTTGAAAGATAGTACTTCTCCTATTTCTCCTGCTACTCCTCAAGAACAAAGATGTCTTAGCGACGTAGAACTTGAGTTGATAAGGCAACCTAGGAACGTTACACCACCTCCTCATTCACCTATTCGACAAACAGAGTCACCGCATACTCCATTATTACCACCTAGGGCAACAACGCCAATAGGTAACAAAACAAGCACATCTACAAGAAAACACAGTCCAGAGAGACAGAAACATAGTCCCAATATACATACAAGACATAGTCCCGCTAGTCCCAATGCAACAACCAGTTCAGCTCGTAGGCGACCTCATAGTCCTAGTCCAGCAAGGCGTAGAGATCATAGTCCACCACGGAGAAGAGATTTTAGTCCAATTTTACATAGAACCAGACACAGTCCTAGTCCATCAACATTGAGACGAAGAGAATTTAGTCCCAGTCCTGTAAGTCACAGAAGAAGAGGTGATCCTTCTACATCTCCTCCTTCGAGTAAACGTAGAAGAAAAGAAATAGGATCTGATCGAAGGTATAGACATCATGAAAAAGATAGGAGGGATAAAAGAAAATCAAGATCAATTAGAAGTCCTACCAGCAGCAGGTAATAATAATTACTTTCTATATTTATAATTATAAATATAATAATGAATTTATCACTTCTTATTTATTAAGGTTGCCTATGCCACTTTCACGATCTCGATCTCGTAGTCCTGGGCGATGGACTAGAAAAATGCAATCACGTTCAAGATCACGTTCGCGAAGAAGAAGTCGAAGTCCTAAAAAATCACGTTCACCTAGTAAATCACACAAATCATCGAGGAAGCATAAATCAAAAAGCCCACGTCCCTCGAGGATTCCTTCTCCATCTCCACATAGGTCAAGAGTTAGAAGCCCTACAAGTATTACTGCAAGAAATCTTCGAATGCAAGCTAAAATAAATGAAACTAGTTTGTTCGCTGAACTCGTTAAGGATAGAAATATGAGAGAATTGGCATATAAAAAGTTACAAGCGGCGAAGGAGAAAGCTATCAATCAAGACGAGGTTCAAATAATAGAAGGCACGGACGAGAAAGATTCAAGTACCGGAGCGACCGAAAATAAGGCTAACTTTGATAACAAAAGCAAACTTTTAAGTCATAAAGAACCATTGAAATCATCAAACGAAACTAGTAAAAATCTTGATGTTGTTAACATTCCAGTTCCGGTCACAGAAGATATTAATACAGCAGGAAGAACTCCACCTTTACCAATGCATTCGACACATAGTGCACCATCTAATGTTATACCAAGGACAAGTGCACCATCTCATACCGTCGTGCGTACATCACCAACAATATCCGTACCCAACAATTGTCATGCTACTGTTGCAAATAGTCCGAGCATTCCAGCTAACATGAGTGCACAGCCTCCGCCACTGCCTCAACCTGAAACTAGAAATACATCAGGCTTGTCACATGTACCTGTACCAGTGCCTATTCCTGTACCAATAATGCCAACAGTTATTGCAAATTTATCTGTTCCTCCGCCACCTATTCCTATTCCAGTTCCAGCACCAAATACAGTTATGTCCAAATTTAATTCACCAAATAACCTAGTTCCTTTGAAATCAGTGGATCCGCCAAAGCCACCTATTGTAGCATTTAAGACTAAGAGTTTATCAAAATTACCATTACCACCTGGTATTAATCAGAACGATTTGGAGAGTATAGATTCACCTCCTAGTCATTCGCCAAGTCCACCAAGTAAGGCACAAATGAAATTCCCATCTTCGACTCCCAAACCGCCGCAGAAAAAGAGCATTAAAGATTTGCCTATGCCACCAGGTTAGTATTATTTGTCTTTATTTCATATATGTTAAATAAAATTTATTAAATAATGAATATAATAATAGTATAATAAATTATATTTATATTTCAAGTCGTTCCTGGATCTGAAGATTTGAGTGGAGAAGAAGATCCAAGTGCGACGCCACCGCAACATGTAGTTGAGCGTGTCACTCCAAAGCCAAAATTGAAGAGGCCAAAAATATTAAAAAGGAGAAGTTCACGAAATTGTCACCTTCCTATGTCAGCCTCTGGTGGTAAAGATTGGGGCGAACGTTGCGTTGACGTATTTGATTTTATTACACAAATTGGGGAAGGCACTTATGGTCAAGTATATAAAGCTCAAGATAAGAGAGCAGGTATACTTGTTGCCTTAAAAAAAGTTCGTTTGGAAAATGAGAAGGAAGGTTTTCCTATAACGGCGGTTCGCGAGATTAAAATATTAAGACAGTTAAATCACAAGAATATTGTTAATCTTCGAGAAATCGTGACTGATAAGCAAGATGCTTTGGATTTCAGAAAGGTATAGAATTAGAAATTATATTAAGAAATTGATATAAACTACTGATATAAAAGTAGAAATTGATTAATAATAATTTGATGTATTTTAAAAAATGTTGTATAGTATTTATGTATATTTATATTACAGGATAAAGGATCCTTTTATCTTGTCTTTGAATATATGGATCACGATTTAATGGGACTGTTAGAATCTGGCATGGTTGAATTTAACGAAATGAACAACGCCAGTATAATGAAACAATTATTAGATGGACTAAATTACTGTCATAGTAAAAATTTCTTACATAGAGATATTAAATGTTCTAATATATTGATGAATAATAAGTAGGTATTTTTAAACGTAGTCAGTATATTAAAATCAACATCTTTAACCAGATGTTATTTAATTATCTTTATATCTTTCAGAGGGGAAGTAAAATTAGCAGATTTTGGATTGGCGAGGCTTTACAATGCTGAAGATCGTCAAAGACCATATACGAATAAAGTTATTACCTTATGGTATAGACCACCTGAACTGTTATTGGGTGAAGAACGGTACGGGCCTGCTATTGACGTTTGGAGCTGCGGATGTATTTTGGGAGAATTATTTTATAAAAAACCTTTATTCCAGGTAAAGGTAATTTCAAAATAATCGCACATGCTTCGGTAAACATATCAATGTGAAAATAATTTGTTTGAACTTGTTAAACAGGCAAACGTAGAAGTACTACAATTAGAAATGATTTCAAGAATTTGTGGTACACCTACTCCAGCCGTTTGGCCATCCGTTATAAACTTACCCTTATGGCATACGCTTAGACCAAGAAAGTCACATAGACGACGTTTAAGAGAGGAGTTTTCACTTATGCCATTACCAGCATTGGATCTTTTGGATAAAATGTTAGAATTAGATCCTGAGAAACGTATAACAGCAGCTGACGCATTGAAAAGTAATTGGTTGAGAAATGTGGAACCTGAGCGGTACGTTTTTAACTTTTACATATACATTCAATCAACAGTGTATCTAATAGTATTTTTTAGTAAATTAATTATGATACATATATTCATATGTATAATAATTAGGATGCCTGTACCTTCGTTGCCAACTTGGCAGGATTGTCATGAATTGTGGAGCAAAAAACGAAGACGTCATTTAAGGGAACAAAATGAGGGCACTTCTGCGGGAAGAATGCCTCTTTCAAATCTTCCAAATAGAGGAGGAGGTCCTCATAGAGCCATTGAAGATATATCAGAAGTTGGAGGGTGAGTAGTTCTCGAGAGACAATTAATGTTCCAGAACTTATCAGAAACTAATTGCTTACATACACATATAGCTAGCTGTGTACCGCAGTTATGCTTGGCATTTATTATTCTTTTTTAGCTAATTATTATGTTACTAGAATGACTTCTAAAGAATATATATATATGTATATATGTATTTATGTATATATATATTCATATATATAAATGTGTAGTAGTGCACCACCTCATTTTTTTTGCTTCGCTCGTTTGCATGCTCAGTTTAAATTAGTAAATAAATTAAATTCCTTTTAGTTCTTGTTGTTTTTTTTTTTTTATAAAGTCGATTTAAATAAAAATTCCACTATACAATAAATGAAAAAAAAAAAAATATTATCGAAGATTCGATATAAAATAAATATGTGAACATATACATGGCGTTACTTTCTATTTAAAGGTCAGAACTCGGCGAATGACCAAAGAAGTCGACGCCTTTAGATAGGAATAAAGGAATGAGAGAAAAAGAAAACGGTAAATAAATAAATGAATAAATAAATGAATAAATGAATGAATACATAAATAAATGAATAAATAAATAAAAAGAGAAAAGAAAAGAAAAATAATGGTCAGAACTGCAGAGATTTGATGCCAGCATTCTTCATTTTCCAGATTACTTTTAGATGATTTAAGATCTGTGTAATTTAGAATACACAGGGGACTGCAATGAACGTTTTCATTAAACGTTGTACATTTTTATACAACCTACTTTTATATCTGTCACTATGCATTAAATTACTGATTTAATAATATATATATAGTCATTTGGAATATGGCGTTGGTACTGCTACACATACACACGTATAAACATCCTAAGATTTTTGTGCTCGCCAAATCAATGAAAATACCTAGTTCATTTATTATATCGCTACTATCTTTATATGTACATGTAAAATCTGTACCTTCCCCCAATTTACTGTGATCAAAACTACCATTTTTTCAATTACTACAAATGGTCACGCTAAAGGTTTCTTATTTAAAAAAAAGAAAAAACAGTAAGAAAATATCGTTTACAATTAATTTGTTTTCATTACCAAATAAATATAATAAAAATATGTACATATATATAAATTAATACATGTATGGGCATGCATATGCATAAATGAATATTCTAAAAACTATACGCAGAGTGCTCAAATAATTATTTACGCACCCTGCTGTTATTTCATTAAATATATATACGTAATAATAATAATAATAATAATAATAATAATATATATTATATATTAATTATTATTATATTATATATTAATTATATCTATTCGTAATAATTTGCGTATATATGCTAAGAATTGAAATATGTCTCAGTAATACGTTTTGTAAATATAACATTATTCAAGTTCAAATCATATAAATGATCGAGTTAAAATTTAGTAGTCGACGATGATCAAATATTACATTATATGAAAGATATATTAAAGTGATATATATATATATATACGTATATGTATATCATACTATTGTTTTTCACCAAGGATCAATTAAAATTTAAATAAGAAATAAGTACGAAATAGGAAGAAAAATATATATACAGATATATATGCACGCACACACGTATATATGTACACATATGTATACGTTTGTGCTGGTGGACTGAAAAAAAATATATGTAAAGTCCCTTTAGTTTAAAGCAAATGAAAGGAATGCAGAACAATTTATTTCAAGGTCAAGAGCAAAGAGAGACAGACAAAAAGAGAGAGTGCATAGTGTGTAGGTAAACGTATGAACGTATAATGGAAATTGTTAATCTCTTAACATTTTTGATAAACTATTTTATTTATGTTATGTCAATTTATTCATTTACATCCTCTGTAGATTTTGATCGGCCATTCTTAATGAAAATAAGAAACAAAAAACTGTATCACAGTTCGTTACTTTGTACTATGTATAAAGCAAATTATTAAAATATAAGTTTCAATATATGAATGGTTAGGAAAAAAAAGAAAGAAGAAAAAAAATAACATTAGTTAATATTTTTATTTTCTCTGCTGCATGTGTTTTATTATAGTATTGTACACCATTCTTATAATGAAACTTAGAATCCCTTTTGCTAGTTTCAAATGTATGTCACTGCAATGTAAGATAATAATTAAATTGTGTAATATACTTTTATTAGATACCCAAAGGTGTTTTTACGCAATATGTTAATAGATAAAAATTGAATAATTTAATGATAATATTAAGGATAATTTATCTTTCATTATCTTTACTTTTCTTATACGTTTCTTCATTTTTTTTTATTTTTGTAAAATTTTGTTTTATCAAAATCATGATCTTGAAGGAATTAGCATTGATGATTTGAAGGAACACACTGGGACCTTGGGAAATAGACATTTTTTAATAACATAAGTGAAAAAATGAAGTATATGTTACTATCTCTACCAATTCCACAATGTCTACGTCGTAGCGTTTATCTGATTTAAAAAAAAAAATACTAATGTTTTAATATTCTGTATAGTTTCAGATTCAAATACATGGTACAATTTTAAAATAATTTTCCAAGGATCTCCTATCTTTTTGAATGTTGTACATGTCATGTAAAAATGCATTATTATTAATATTATTATTATTATTATTATTATTATTATTATTATTATTATTATTATTATTATTATTATTATTATTATTACTATTATTATTATTATTACTATTATTATTAATATTATTATTATTACTACTATTATTATTATCATTATTATTATTATTATTATTATTATTGTGTTATATTATTATTAATATTATTAATATTATTATTAATATTATTATTATAAGAAAATAAAAGTAAAAGAAGAGAAACGTATTCCTTGAAGATATCTAGTAAGTTTTGACTGTATGTGTTTCCTTATACTTCTCTTATTTCCAAAGTCACAATTATATATATAAATAATAAAATATTTATATAATGAGTATCCAAAATTAATAATAATAAAATAATATGTTTCTTCTGAGAGAAGTTAACGATAATGTTCAACAACAAAAAGTACACAAAGTTCTTAGACAAGCATATTTCTAAATTGGCTTGTTTAAAATAAATATTATTCGTGCTTAATATTTTTGAAGAAAGGTTAAATTTATATTAATTCTTATATTTAAGCATTGGGGGTGTTCCAAAAATGAAAATGATCCCCGATAATGTAAATAGTTAAAGAAAAAAATCATATTCATTGTTCTATAATTCAAATTAAGGATTATAGTTTGTTAATAAATTATTAAAACATCAATTGAATAATCTGTATTGTTTTGCCATAATATTTACATTATCTTACGCATTTATATATAAGTCAGATTTTTCTTTTCTAGAGTGAAATATAAATTTAAGTATTTATTATTATAATAAATTCTTATATTTATTAGGTGTAAATAATATTGAGTATCGTGTAGATACAACATTGAATTGACAACCTCACTTGAACTTACTATAAGTCATTTTTATAAAAAGGAAAATCAAATCAGGTATTTTTTTGTAAATTAAAAATAATATCTTCAAAATCATGTACATGTTATAATTTGTCAACAACTTTAATAAATGATACCTGATCAATTATTTTTTTATCTATTGACTTGATAAAGAATAATTGATAAAGATTAATATTACACTATAAAACAATAAAGTTATTTAAACAAAATAATTGTTTTTATCTTTTGGTAGGATATATGTCTTCTTCTTATTTAACTTCATAATATATGATCAAATTATACTAATTTAATTATTATATTTAATATTGAAATTTGATTATTTAAAATTACTTATATTTATAATTAACAATTGATGTCAATACAAATCTATTGGAATGATAAATCATTGAAAGAACACCCGCTATGCTTATTTGTTAGAAATTTATTAGTTAATCATATCAATTGAGATATAATATATATAATTGATATGATAATTAAAATGATACGTTTTGTTCTGAAAGAATGAATAAATAAATCATTGGTATATTGTATCGAAATAAAAGTATTAGGAGAATTTATATATTTATTTGTGGAATTAGCAGATGTTAATGTATACTTTAAAATATAATGAGATATCATTTTTTTAAAATAATAAAAATAAAAAAATATATATGTGAAATATATAAGCAAAATATACAATACCAAAAATTGGCAATGAATTCTAACGAAAACGAATTATGTTTCAGGAAGTAAAAGTAATTATGGCTGAATTATAGAGGGACAGATTTTGTAATACTTATAAAAGTTTACATAGGTAATAAATGCTCCAAATTCGTTAATATATCTTTATATATATATATATATTTCTACCCAGGGTATCCAAATTCATCATTTATTTCTGAATATACATACATATCCTGTAACAATATATATGCTTTCACTTATCTTACTAAAATGTGTAAACTGTTTATAATTTAATTACTTTGATAATAATCTAATTTGTTTAGGTCTCCTATCATTATACACATTTATCCACAACTAATGAGTTAACAATTACAATGTTAACAATTTCAATTGAATTCTATTAACAATTTTTCACTGTTACATATATATGTTTCATTTATATTTCGAAGGTAATTGATTAAAATCATTTATTATTCGTTTATATAAAATATAACGAAGTTAGTAAAAATATTTATTTAAAATAAAAAAACTTATTTTCATATAAGAGTAATAAACAAGTGTTCTTATCGTTTTATATTGTATGTTTCATTTAAATATATATAATACATATACGTAATATATATATATATTTTATATAAGCTTTTGTTCATTATGTACATTTTCAGATACTCTTCATCTTTGCATGATTACTATTATCTGTATGCATGTAATACCATTTCATTTATGTTTCTATTCTATACAATATTTTATTCATTACAGAATTTACAAATAGATTTATTTGATTGTTTATTTTAAGTTAAAAATATTATATTATTATATATTATCTTTCTTATATATGCAACTTCGTTTTAGCTAATATATTCACTTAGAGATGATATAGTTGATGAATGTTTAGAAAATGTCTTAGTATTAATTGGCTATTAAATAAAATTAATATTTTACAACAAGATAATGCTTGTTATGTTAAAGTTTTAAAAAAATAGTATATGCTAGTATATTAACCTATTATATTAAAAGTATTGAATAACATAAAAACTATCTTCATAAAATTCTGCACATTAGTAATTTTTAAATTAATTATAAAATTCTGATTTATTTCAGATCTTCTAAACGGTTGAAAATGGAAGCAGGCTATAATTCTCATACAAATCGTCTCAGTACAGAATCTCATTATGGGGGAGATGGATTATTTAATCAAAGTGGCCCTTTTATGGTTTCTCCATCATCATCGTACTACTATAATAGTCCTCCACCAATAAAATCATCAATTAATCTAAAGGGAGATGCTACTTCGCATACTATTGAAGGAAATACAGAAGATACTCTTGCACGAAAATTGAGCGTTCTCACAAATGCCTTAAATCAAGGGAAGCCGATACGTGTTGATGATCTTATGTCATTGCGATCAGATAATGAGGTAAATGCAAATATAAATTAATATAATTTTGTTCAGAATTAAAATTCTTTATCAAATACTTATCTAATTATTCTATAGACTGATCCAAAAGTAGTGCAACTGTTAGGAGATCTGCATGCCGAACTACGACTTGCCGGGAATACAAGACCAAGTGGCCAACTGGAATCTCACATTCCTATATTAAATCCACCTCCTATAGGTCAGTTATTTATATTATTTATATTCATTGATCTATAATATTAATAATATAATTGTTCTTTTTTACAGATACAAAGATGATCTCAGTAGGAAGTTTTGATGCACATGCTGTTTACGCAGGTGATGATGCAGTGAGTTCCGGTAGATGGTCACAACTGGCAACAGTTGGCGTTCGCAGTGCACTCTCTGCACTTATGTCATGTTATGGTTTGGAAACTTGTAATCCTTCCCCTTCTATTACTCGACCCCCAGGTAAAACATCAGCCAACCTGAAACATAACCTCTTCCAACCTTCAACTTCCTCTCAAACGGCTTTTAGCTCGTAATTGCTTGTACATATAAAAAGTGTTGCACATTTCTGAAAAAACAAGAATATGTTTTGTATAAAATTGGAAAGAAAGGTGTACGCGAAATTGCTATTTTAATTAATTAAATAGAAATAGAATCGCAACGGTATCAAATCATTCTATAACATTTTTATTGATAAATATTGGATTCGTACATAATTTCATACGTATTCAATGTTATTAAAATTGATAATACTATAACAGTACTACAGTACTATAATATATACTAAGTAAGTAGCTATCGGTATTATCATTTTCTTATTATAAAAAAAAGTAATATTATTTAACTGAATAAGTTTACTTTGTCTTCTTTTAGAAATTACTTATATCTTTAGTAAACAACTATTGAAACAAGCAATATTTGGAAATGATTGGATGCACTCTGAGAACTGATTGCATAAGCATTCTTTAAATATATGAATAAAATTATTTAATTTCAATTTTACATTAAAAAATCTATTGTACATAAAAAGATACAAAATATTTATAATGTGTATAATAAAAGCATGCAAATGATACACTTTTTTTATTAGCTAATAAAATATAAGTAATATTTTTCTAATACAATATATAGTAACACTATATAAATAAATTATATTTATTATATACAAATATATTTGTAAAATATGAAGAAATATAATCTTGGACAAATCCAATCATATACAAATGAATAATCACTACATATATAAATACATATATTTAAACTTTCACTATAATTTATTCCATATGTATTATTATTTTTGAATAATTGAACTCGAATCTGGGAATATGAAATAAAATGCGTACAATAATTAATAATATTATTTATAAACGTTTCAGATTGAAGAGACAACCTACAATAGTGTGTCAGCTAAAGAAAACTGAGGTTAGGTCGTCCAATGCCGGCAATGTCCTATTTATTGAAGAAGAAAGATGGCGGATCGTTCTGTGGTCGAGATAACTGAGGCGTTCCCGACGTATCAAAAAAGGATTTTGAGGAAACCCAGATAATAAAATATCTTTTGTTTCCTTTAATGAGTTTGTTCATTTATATGTTCAGCACGATACACAGATGTATGCAATAAAATTATAACGGTACAATTAACGATTATCTTACGTGGATAAAGATAATAAAAAGAGGCATCTCGAACTGCCTAATAATACCTAACCTCGAAAAAAAATAACTGTTAACCACGATGTCAAACGTTCTACGGCTTACTTATTCCGTAGAAAATGAAAAAGCTGAAACTGACACCAAGTCCTTTGCACTAATCTTACAAAAAGCATATGAGCAGTATCGAAGTAAGTAAATATATAAGTATATATATTTTACTATAATTTAAAAGATTTATTTGTATCAATTTTTTCTTATTTATATAAGGACTCTTTAATTTAATATATTAATTAAATGTATTTTAAATGTTATTTAACTTTTTCATAAATCTATGTTAACAAGTATTTCATATTTTTATTATATATTAATTGATAATGTAATTATTATATTTATATTCGTACAATAATATCTGTTATTTGATATTGTAATTCATGATATATTTAGACTAAGGTTAATCATTGATTTTTAATATTTTTAATTATAGTTATCATATAATTACATATTTATTAAATATGTGTATTGTGTATATGTGTAAATGATCATGTATATTTTGCTTATTAATATTTCGTTATTAAAATATATGAAAATATCTCACATTGCATTATTGTTTTTGTAGAATTGTGGAATAAATATCTGGATTTAGTTAAGAAATGCGAAGTTGATAGTTCTGTACATAATGAAATTCAAGAAACGTGGAAGGAAAAAAATGTGTAAGTATATGCATTTTCTTTATTTATATTATACGTAATTATTTTAATTTTCACACATACATACACACAAATTAAAAATACATAATGATGTTTTATGGTATTTATTTCAGTTTCAAACCTATAAACCCGTTTGCTGAGGATAATGAATTTTTAAATAATTCCGCAGATCAAGAAAATCAATTATCCATAAATAAAGAAATCGAAGATAGAAAAGAAAGTCAAAGCTTTATCGATAACATCTCAGAATCTTCCTTATTTGACTTGATGATGGATGTCAATGATACTATTTGTCAATTTCAACCTAAAATAACGAATGCCATTTTACCTGAAAGCCCAATATTTATGCGAAAGGATGAAAGATCTAATAATTTAGAAAATGAAATTTCTAAGAATAGTAATGATAAAAGTATTTTAGATAAAATGGAGACTAGTAATAAATCAGATTGTAACAATCAAAATACTAGTAAAAATACCTTTTGTATTGCGACACCTGAAGAAAATTTAGATGATACATCGCTTGATAATCTTTCGCCTTTCATCATTCAGAGCACACCTGTAATTAATAATAAAGTTAATAAGAAGAACAAAAAAAAATTATTTGAGAAAGCTCGTCAACCACAATCGAATGATAATGAAGTTAGTCCTAAAAAAAAGCAAACTAAGAAGAGTAAAATACCATTACAAGCGTTAGACAATATTGCTAATCCATTGAGTACTTATTTAATTCATAGTAATGGTGATCAAATAAATAATAAGATTGGCAATAACAAATCTAAACTTTATAAATCTTGTTCAACACCAAATAAAAATTTAAAACAATCGAAACTTTCATTTTATAATACTAAACAGAATGTTAATAATGCTACTGTACCGTTTATTAATGAAAACATACCAGTAACAAGATTTAAAAAATCTTTATATAATCATGAACCTTCCTTAGAAGATACCATAAAAGAAAATCAAACTACGATGGATGAAAAAATTAATGGTATATGTTTGGACGATGCTAATGATCAAAATGAGACAATATTTGAGGATGTAATAGCAAATAGCCCGGATTACCAAAAAGTACAATTACAAAATAAGAATCAATTGAAGCTCAAACGAAAATCTAAAATGACTAATACAATAACAGCCTCTGCTTCGTCCACTAATAATTCTAAGCAAATGCAAAATAATGTATGCCCAACCAAAAAACGAAATATTGCTATTAATGATAATAGCATTTTATCTCCTGAAATGGTTAACGATAATGCAAAGAAAAAATGTCTGATATTTTCCAAAGATATTGAATCGGAAAAAAAACTTGTAGATAAGAATAATTCTGAGAGAATTGCATGTATAAAACAGAAGGAATCTAATGAATTAAATGAATTTCAGTGTAGACTTGAAAATGAAACATATTTTGAAGAAAAAACTCCCGAAAAAAAGACTACGCATGTAAATAAAGTGATAAATAAAAATTCACTTAGGTATAACGCAAACTATATTATTAAATCTACTTCCTTTCTCTCAAATAAGTTTGTGAAATATTATTCATTTACTTTGTATAATACTTTAAGTATTTATTCATTTGTAGACTTGGAAATACTGGAATAAATTCTGTTAAATGTAACAATAAGAGTAAATCAGCTAACAAAGATATCGAAATGAAAAATAAAAAATGGAGTTGTTCGGAATGTGAAGAGGTAATATAAAAATTAATATAAAATTAAATAGATTTTGTGTCACGTAAAATTACACGTAAATATAAAATTATCCAATTTCAGTATTTTGTTGAAACACATAATTTTATTACAGTATTATAAAAGTGAAGCAGGTATTACCGATACGCAAATACAAAGGCGGAAAAATCAATGTTCGCGTCACAAAAATGTATATTATGCCAGAAATGCAACGCCACCAGGTAAAAATATAATCTATATGAATATTTTCAATCTTTACAAATATACTGATGTAAAATGCATCAAAATATTATTACGTATTAAGTATTATTTTTACAGGTTTTTGGGATCCTTTCTTGCCTGAAACTGCCTCAGATAGTATTTATCAAAAATAATTAAAAGAATTTAAAAATTAAATAATATATACATAAATTTTGTAGATAGAGTTAATATATGAAGATGCTATTATTACATAAATATTTATTAGAAATTGTAAATAAGTTATGTGGTTTTTTTCAAATATTTATTTGTTCTTTTGAATAAAATACAGTTATATTGGAATATTATCTTCGTGTCTGTATTTCGAGCCAAAAATTTGATCGCATAAAAATGAAGTGCATAAAGCACAATCAAAAAAGAGAGCATTTTATTTGTGTGTGTACTTAATTATTTGAAAATGTTTTCTCCCTTTTATATAGAATGTATTATATTTCAGAATATTTATTCTTTTGTCAAATTAAAATAAGTTCCAAAATTTTCTGGATATATATAATATGTATGTGTATATATGTGTGTGATTGTATAGTTAAAAATATAATTAATTATTCGATTATTAATTATTGATATGTATAATGATGAAAAATATGTTCTGCTACTTTATTGAGTATTTACAAAATAATTTAGCAAATAAAACGACAAGGAAAATATGATTAAGATTTTATAAAAATATGAACGTCATTTAAATTTGAATAATTACTAACAATGAGATCAAAACTGATAATTAATAATAAAAAGATATATTTTACATATTTCAATTGGACGTATTCTTGGTTTTAATATATTCACGAATATTAAACATTTATATGTTTATATATTGATACAATATCAACATCATTGCGAGTTTTGCATATAATTCATAATTTAAAATTGTATATATTAAATAATTATTTAAAAAAAAAAAAAATGACAAAAATATATTGAATAAAAATAAAAAAATTTCGAATATTTATATAAATACAAAACAAAATAAAATTATGTTAACAAATTTTATTCTTTTAATATTTACTCTTTTTATATCAAATTTGTAATAAAATGATATTTAATGCAACTAAAGTTACTAGTTCTTTTCGATTTTCAATAAGATAAAATATTTGATAGAAAAATTGCAGCGAAAGGTTTCAATCTCATTGGCATAATAAAAATATTTTTTCTTTTTTTTCTTTAGACAAGTATAGATGATGCTTTGTTTTTAGAGTGTTATAATGTTGGTAATATTAACATATACATTATACAATCTATGCCATTTCTACCACATCAACAGAGTTTATTATCATATCTTTTAATGATAATGTTACTCAACAACAAATAGGATGTACACAATTGTACGATCCAATCATTTTTTTTTATAAATTAATACATGTATGTGTACGTGTGTGTGTGTGCGTGAATACAAGTAATTACAACAAAAAATAGCATTTTACCAAATAATTGTATTAATTAGCAACGAAAGTTTGAAATTTTTCTTAAATATTTTCTTAGAATATTTCGCATAATTTTTAATATACGATGTATACAAGCTTTTAGCACCTTTTTATAGTTGCCATAAAATATGTATTATCAGATATGAGATTTAGATTTAGTTTTCGTTTGAAATATTACGATATTAGATTTCTTAATATCAGTCGATAGAAAACATAGAAAAATACAAGTTAATTATAACAAAAAAATATAAAATAACATCTTAAAATATTAATAATGAAATTTGATATTTTCATTTTGATTGAGACAATCTCGATAGATTAGAATTAAATAAGAAAAAATCCAAATTTTTGTTCTAATCTTGATATTCATCCTATGTGATATACGACGCGCGATCATTTATAAATATTTTTATATCAGGGCACAAAAATACTTGATACATAAGCATCTCTTAAATACCATTTAATAACATATTATAATGTCTTTGTTCTATATGCGTTTCTATGGGTGAAACGTATGCCTGCTATTCGTAAGGATTTTCTTTTCTCTATAGGCCGTATCTCTCTGACTGATGTATCTAAATATATATAGGGTGTCTTCTAACAGTGGAAAAATGGTATAAGTAAGCAAAGGGTGAAAATGTAGAATACAATTTTTTCTCAAAAACAAAGTCTTGTTTGAACAAATTTGATTTTACATTTTCAAATTAGTTTTTCATGTAGAATTACCATCTGCTCGCTTATGTCACCAGTTATAGGACACTCTGTATATATTTAATATATATATATATTATATAACACGTAATTATTTATTTGTTTCAAAAATAAATATCCTTTGTAAATAAAAAAGAAAAAAGTAACGAAAAAGAAGAATCAGAAGCGCATATTGAGGTAGAAATATTTACTATATAGTTTGTTTGTTAGTATTTGTTACTTTATAGGACGAAATAGATTTTGTGTGTGTAAAGTATATCAGTTTATTGCATTAATGCAATTAGATTAATATACTGGAACGCTCGATAATATTTAATCGTAAGAAGCATTGCTTTGAGAGTTATTTAACACTCTAATGGTTCGTTATTGTGTAGTCCATTTGTTTTTAAATTGCTTAGTTGATTTTTTTCATTTTTTTTGTTCTTTTTTTTGTTTTTTTTTTTCATATATATGTATATTTATATATAGCCCAATTCTAAAACCAATTAGAGAATCATCGTAAATAGTGTATACAATGTTAAAAATATTATTGATCAAAAGGCAAAGTGATAGAAACTTATAGAAGAAACTAGCAGTTATTTCAATAGAATATATCAATATGATTATACATTTACTATTAAATATTTGGCCATTCTTCAAGGTACATTGGACTTAATTACGTAGTACTTTCCCTATGATCGCCAGTCCGGATTTTTCCACGAAGGTTGTTGTTAATAGGTTACAGCCACTGATTAGTTTTCGTAGGTGATGAAGAAACATTTTCCTTAGTTGGTACGTTTTCGTTTGAAGGAATGGATAAAGCCTTTAGGATTGCGTGTACTTCTTCCGCGACAGCCATTAATACAAATTCAAATTGTTGTTTAGTAGCAACCATATTCGGCCTTTGATCTCTAATATGTTCTAATGTTGCAGCAATATCTATTTCCTTAGTTCCCTTCGCTATGCGATTTAGGACCATGTCAATCAAACAGTAGGTACCAGTACGACCAGCACCATCGCTAACAAATTAATTATACGATTATACTGACGTATATTTTTGTAATATATTTTTAAAATTATTAACAATCTTACTATTATACTATACTCACAACTATTACTATAGTACACTTACCTGCAATGAACAACAATGGGGCAGGATCGACCTCTATAGGATTTATTAACTTTCCTATAATTCAAATTATAATTTAATGAATAATTTAATTAATTTAATATGTTTTTCTCACAGTGATAGAAAAAAGATTTTTGAAGAACATACCTGCGAAATTCCAGTAATGCCTTGGTTGAGTGAGGTACACTATTCTCTGGCCAAGAAAGGAAATGGAATTGTGTGACAGTACGTGTTTCACCAGTTAGCAAATTTTTCAAATAAAACGATCTGACCAAATAATCGTCACACCATGGATGTTCCGAAACCAAATGTACTTCATAAATATGATATCGTTCGGATCCTTCAGTTTGATCTGGCCAATAACGATGACACATAGCCCGACCATCTTCGGTAAGTCGTGTTAATGCTACAATGACAACGCTACCCTGTTCCCATACTAATTGCCAAAGATCTGCTGCTGTTTCTGGTAAGGGTCCTTGCGTTGCAATGTAAGCTGGATTTCGTGGATCATGATCCGTCTAAAAAGTAGAAATCGGTTAATGGTAGACAGATATTTTTTTAACTTTATTATATTCTTAACATTAATATTCTTTCATTTTAAGCAAGTCACACGAAAGCATTTTTTACAGTGCATATAATAAGGAATAAATTTTAATAGATTGTTTACTGCTGTTTATAAACTATTATTAATTTTACAAAATACTAATCGTACAAATAAAAGTGTACTTTTCTAATTTCTAAAATATATTTTGTATATAATTTTTGATAATTTTTTCTTTTTCTAAATAATTTCTACTTACCTTATATTTTTGTTGGCACTTGTAGCTCTATCGTGACTGTGCATATTTGATATGTGTGTGTATTTGCAAAAAGCCTATGTATTAATAGCAAACGAACTATCGTTTTATGAATGAGTGTAAACAATTTAGTATTTTAATATTCATGCTACTCAATATCTATAAAATTTTGTATTCAAACTATATTAATGATATCGTTTATTTTATTGCTCATTCAGCATAACTTATTGTTAGCGAATTTTCTAACAAGATTTTCCATGCTAATCGTGTGACTTACCGGTTTCTTTGTATTCATGTGCGGCATCCGATAAGAACAAAGAAAAGACACGAATGTCGTGCACGTTTAATCAAATATGTTCGTAAGAATATAATGAGAAAAGACGGTCTATAAACATTAAAAAATATTTATTTTCATGCGATTCAAATATACTTACAATCGTTGATGCATTTATGTAGTTAGAGTTATTAGCGTTTGTGAGTTCGTTTAATACAATTCTAGAATGATCGTATGGAAGTGAAGCATTGGGACGATTATATTTCGAATTAGTATCATTTTCTGTAACATCGGTCGCGGATGTTCCATAAGAGCACAATGCAGCCCATTCCTGATCTAAACGATCTTTATTTTTCAGATGATCTTCCATATAACTCTGCAATTACGAATATCAATAATTAAATCATTATTTTTTCAAACTATTCATATAATATTTATTTTGTTTTTCATTTCTTAGTGAAACAACTTTTGGGACATATTGTATATGTAATATATTTTAAAAAATTATTTGTATATTTACTAGAACCATATTTCCTGTTGATATATCCATGTTCGAAAAAGCAGGTTCGTCGAAGGTCCAAGAAGATGTGCTGGAACGATCACATATAAAATTATTCGTTTCATTTTCACGAGATGATGAGGGGCGCCATGGTTCTTGTTTTTCTGGTGTTTGTTTAGCCTGCATTCTTACTCTACAAAGATCTTGATAATCTTTAGAAGCCTCAGGATCAGGTGTTGCCAATCCTGCGAGTTTTTCTCGTGATTTTGCATGACGTCGTACTATTACCAATGTTACTACTGCTGCTGTTATTGCAGCTGCTATTCCAGCAGCTACTATAGCTCCAAATAACGTCGAACTTATTTCTACATCGTTTGGTACTTCCAAAGTTGCAGGTAATTTTGCCTTAAATTAAATGAAATTATTTACAAAAATTTGAACAAAATTTGTTTGGTTTATAATGTAAGAAAAATATGAAACCTTATCTCCAATGCCTGCACGAATCACATCTACTCCTAGAGTATCTCGTAAATTGTTTCGTATATGATCTATAAAAAAAAAGAAATAAGAAATAAAAGTAAATTAGTAAATTAAATAAACTTATTACCTGTCTTTTTTTATACATATACGTATATTTATTTATAACAAATGCTTACCGATGTTATTTACAACGTCAGTAGAGTTAAAGTTCATGTTATTTTTTGTAACTTTGAATGTTACTTCTGCACGTCCAACTCTAATGTCTTTCAAAGTTCCAGGATTTAAATTCAATAATCTACCAACCTGTAAACAATTAAAGTTTTGTACATAATTTATTTAAATTATAGATTAAATTAATATTAATAATATGCGATTTTTAAGTACCTCGTTAACAACACGCTCGCCCTCAGACCAAGTGTGAAATTCTTGTTGAAATTCAATGTAAACATGATCAGTGTCAACATTTTTATAAGACCTTTCGTAAGATTTACCGCTACTTTTTAATTCCTTTTTTACCGGTAATGAAATTGGAACATCGCTCTAAAAACAGGATAGTAATCTTATATTACGTTAAACATGTTTATAGATCGTAAACTTACATTATTATCTTCTTGCTCTGTGGTAGTTTGAATAATAGAATCTTTTTGAGTTATAGGAGTTTGCATTTTAAATATATGATTATTCGTTGAAAACAGTGGGCCTGGTTTTTTAACATCCAATCTTTCTCGTCGTTTAAAACCTGACAATTCGCGTCTGAGTAAAATTGCATCCAAATCGTCAAGATAAATTCTAAATGGTGTATCTAGGAAAATGAATTTCAATGACAATTTCTATTCGTATAGATTTCTTTTTTTTTTAATTTACCATCAACATCCGAAGGACCAGTCGATGGGTTCAAAGATTGGACCATTCCTCCTTCAGTGAACAATGCATCTTCTCTAGGCAAATCAAAATCATCGTTTCTTTGCAAATCCATTTCCATATCGGCAAGATTTTTATTTTGGTAATCGAAATTTGGATAAATGTTAACATGTCGTTTGGTATTATCCCTCCACAATGGTTCCTCATTTAAAAATTCAATGGAAGACGTTGTCGGGTGCTTATATTTTCTCGAAAAAGTTTTTTCATAATCCTCTTCAGGAACAGTTTCAAAATTGTCATTGTACGATTCATCGAATTTAAATCTATCGTTGTTCAAAAAATCCAAATTGTTTGTAGACTTTATTGTAGTATCTTGAAAATGTCTATTAGAGTTAAGTTTCCTAATTAGATTATCATCGTCCAATGCATCCTTAAATAAATTCAAATCTTCTTTATCGTAGCGTGTTTTAGAGTTCACGGAATAGGGTTCCGATTGATAAAGTTGTCCTTTGATTTCGTCCAAACTCAAAGATTTTTTACGTAACTTTTTTTTATAAATATAATCGTCGTTAATTGTAGAATATTTGTTGTAAGGATCCGAGGAATACGTTAATTTATATAATTGATGCATCGGTTTCAATTCAGGATCATTTTTCGTACTGTATGGTAGATCAGGAAATTCTTTATCATCCATTAATAATCTTGTTGACTCATCACGAGTACCAGGTGGATAATAAATTTCATTAGCAAATTCTCCGTAAGAATTACCATCGTTTGGCGTAAATTTTACTATTGCGAAGGGTACTGTTTCCTGTAATAAACATTAATTAATATATATTATTATAAATAAATGAACTGAAATATTATTTTTTATAACACGGTAAACTGTAAAAATGGTTTTAATAATCTTGTACTATTATATAATTGATCAATTACTTACTTTATCCTTTTCATCAATGATATCTTCATCTTTCAAACGGTATCTACTGTTTTCTATGAAATATTGACAATTTTGAAGATCTTTATCCAATCTAATAATAACAATAATAAATATTAACAGACATTTAATCTTATTTCATCTAAAAGATTAAAATGAAATTGAGTAATAAATTATGAAATAAATGATAATATCATACCGATGTCGAAGATTATATAAAGAAGTTCGTAATATGCATTGGGTATATGGATGAGACCATTTGTATCCTTCAGTTTCTAATCTTTGCAATTGTAATTGTAATATGTTCAATTTTTCACTGTCTAAATTATACCTAATTTACAATGTAAATTAAAAACGTAAGAGATTTCATTTTTATTTCGATCAAATTTCTTTTTTCATAATATCAATTTTAAAATTTATTGAAAAAACTTACTGATAGAGATCTTCTTCATCGAAATTAGAATACAAAGGTATACACTTTCCAAATGCTAAATCTATAAAATAATTTAAGATAAAAGATAATAATCTAAGAAAAATAACAATTATATTATCAAATACAAAATTATTGAAAAACTCACCGTCGTAACATACTTCAGTTTGGGAATCGCAAAGATTAATATTAAATCTACATCCTACGAATAAAAATAATGAATAGAAATAATAATAATAATGATTAAAAAAAGATATTTTGTTTATCTCGTCATAAAAGTTAGAACAAAATAGTTCTAAAGTCAAATCTTATGAATGAAACATCAGCCATTTGTCGTATCTCAATTCGGTTATTAAATAACAGGCAACAAGTGGCTGTTAACAGATTTCTCAAGTGAACCGTATTTTGTCAAAAAGGAAACTCGAAAAATAACAAAAATATTCCAAAGTAAAAAGAATTTAAAAAATACAAAAAATTAGAAACTTTAATAAACACAATTTAAATCTTTTCCCACGTACATTATCGCTAAGCTGTTTATTGTTTTAATATCAAACGTAATGATAAGAATATCAAAGAGTAATGATATTTATGAAAATGTAGGTAGAAAATTAAAAAGAAAAACCATATAATAGAAAGAATTTTTAATGTAATTTTAATATTTCGAGTAAAATGAAAATATAAATAGGAGGGAATGCAGATAGGAAAATATGAAAAACAAAGAAAAAAAGAAAGAAAGAGAAAAAGAATTAATGGGAGTGGGAAATGGCCTCGAACTAAAAAGACAGTGGAAATTGAAGGCGTTGGCTGTGTTAGTTGTTGGGCTGTGCTGTGGATGTACGGCTCAATAACCGTTTTACTAAAATTGCGTGGGCGAAAATCGAACTCGAACTCTGTTTTCCTCTTCGATATTTGCATCATCTATTTTAACATTGCCATTCAAAAGATTTTACGAATTTTCAAGCTTCAACTACTACGATATCAATCTGCTACTACTTATAACTTGTACGTCAAACAAAAACATTGTTAACGTTTATGGCATGCATTATTAAGTAGCATGGGTAGCACGTATTGTTGCATTTAAACAAAAGCTCTAGGCCCTGGGCTATTATTCACTATTTTCCGATATCGATATCGATATTGATCACGGTTGAAGTTTCTTTCGACTGATCGTTTGTTCATTCATTCAATCATTCATTCGTTCGTTTATTCATTCATTTATTTATTCATTTATTTCGTTAGTCGAACATATAAGTTATTGTAAATTGTTGAGAATCATTTCAAAATTTATTAAATACATTTAATGAATTAAAAAAATATGATTATTTGATTCGGTTTTAAAAAAAAAAAAATCTTTTCTTTTCAATACGAACATTATTTTTTATGGTTTCATCAATTTTCCAATAAATTTTTATAAGGTTTCTTATGACATATATATCATAATTTAATTTTTATATTATAATAAAATGTAAGCATGCTTCATAATCAAAACCTTGGAAGTTTATTGCATCACATATCTGATTAATTGCATGCAACAATAGAGAGTCATTTGAAAAATATAATTAATTCTTTGAAATTAATGTTTTTTTTTTGTAAATAAAAATTAATGTTTTGTCTATATGGGAAATAATTTGAACATATAGATAGAATTAATTGTATATTAATTATTATTGGTTATTCGTATCATTAAACGATAAAGTAAATAACAAAAAATAATGAGTGCGTGATAAATATGCATATAAATATATGACAGAAAGATATATATATATATATATGTTTACGTGCGATGGAAAGTTTGAAAAGTCAGAATAAAAAGGTCAAGGTGGATGAACATGAGTTGCAGGAGAGGTAATAATGGTAAAAGAAAACTTCATCTTATTGAGTGGATGGTAGTTACGTTTATGAGGTGGTTTTAAGTTTTTATGACAGTTCTTTCAAACTGTCCGATATGAAAACGACCGTAAGAAAAGAATAAAAAAGAAAACAAATGTGTGGTTTTTTCTTTTAAAACTCTTTTGTTAGTTATTCTCTCTATTCGGTGAAATGAACCTAATCATGATGTAAATTTTTATAAAAATTCGTTGAAAATACACGTGGGTTGGAAGATGAAAATTTAATGAAACGTTAGGAAAAGAAGAGGAAAAGGGTTTTTTTTTTGTGAAATGAGCTTGTTTCCTATGAAAAGTAAAAAGAAAAAAAGAGGGAAAACCGAACGCCCACGTAAAAGTAGTTAGTCTCACGTTTTATTAAATTCGTCGATCAATAATACAACTTATCATATATGTGACCTAAGAAACGAAATATAATGTTTCATATATTTCGTGCGGATCAATGAGCTTTCAAAAATTCATAACTTATTTATATTTAAGAAAAAATAAAAAACAAAAAACGCGAAATGCATCCAAATGTATAAATTGTTTCTTTATTTATAAAATAAATAATATTTTACAATATTCATTTTCAAACAAATCAAATAAATTTGTATCTTTTTTCAACGATACAATTTTAATATTTATTGCATATTACTTTTTATCTAAAAAATGGTTTCTCATTATATAAAACGATGAATGTAACTTATGAAAATAAAATCCTATAAGATTTATCTGCACTTTATATGCGATAATATAAATGACTTTTTAATTATCCGCAACATACATTCATAGTTAAGATAAACTCCTAATTGAAATAAATTTTCCTACGTGCTTGAAAGTTAAGATTAAAAATAAATGAAATTGTAAAAGTAATCACAGTGTCCCAATATAAATTAATTAATAATTTATCATAAGAATTAGATAATAAAGTAGTCGTAAATTAGAGTACTCACCGACATCACCATCAGCAAGTATACCATGGTGGAGGATATAGAGCAATAACAGCTCTAATCCTCGATGCCAGAAAGGTTTACAACCCATAAATATTCTTTCGAATATTATCAAGTCAATTTATTTAATTCTTAAGATTTAATCGCCCGTTGTTGTCTAGAGAAGTATAAAAATTTTTATTAATATTATTATATAAACATTTTGAAAAGGGAATTTATCAACATATTTTTTACACCAAGAAATATAATATAAATAAAAATTTTATAAATATATTATTAATATTTGAAATACGTAAAATATGTTTATTAAGGAGAGAGAAAGGGAGAGAGAGAGATAAAGGGAAGGGGAAAATCGCAACAGGTCGTTATCATTTTATATAAGAATATACATAAAATTAAATAAATATATTTAACATATGTATTTTTTTAATACAAATAAAATATAAAGAACAAAATTAATGTTCAAAATTAAAAAATAAAAAATTTGCGTGTCTGAATAAATAAGATATTTGAATTTAAATTGAAATTGCGATTACAATCTCTTGGTTTATTATTATTTGAAAAAGTAAACTTTAAAGAAAATTAACAGAATGTAAAAAATTTTTATGCAATACAATAATTTATATATTTATTTGGAAAGATCAAAATTTGTTTATCATTTTATAAAAATTAGTATTAATAAAAAAGACAGAAATTCTGTTTACACAATTCGATGCGAATGAAATTGATTCGAAAATTTGTCAATCAGAGTGAATTGACGCGTATCGCATAGGCGTGACAGCTGTTTTCTTTGTAAAGGGTAAACGAAGTTTACGGGGCAGCAATTTCAATGGTTTGTTGTTCTACGATAATTCCCATAACAACCCTTCCAACTATACAAATTTACTATAAATTAACACGATGAAAAAGGAAGCCAATTAAAGAATCATGAAAAATTCCGTATTGCGCGTTAAGCACACGTAACGTGTAAAATTGAAAAAGAAATTAATCGGATAAACATTGACTTATTTTGTTTGTTTGTTTATGTATAGACTCTAAAATTTGATTTGATTTGACACGAATTTAAAAAGACAACCGGTGAAATTCTTATGACAATAAGAAAAACCATTTAAAGGGTCGGAAGCATCAGGTTGTCATCCCTCTCCTTCCCTCTACTACCATCACCACCACCTTCACCAGTTCCACCACCAACCCTTTCATCTTCTAACTGCGTGGTACATGCGATGGCACCACTCTTTCCGGTTCGTAAAAATTTAATTGGAAGATTATTGGACTCACCTGAAAATTTGACAGCACACACGAAAGATTATTATCTATTAAAATTTTAATATCATCTTGAATTAAGTCGAATTTTGGTGTGCCTTCTTTACAATCACTTGGGCATCAAATAGAAGCTAAAGTTTTCTATCATAACCCTTTGTTAAATAGTATCTATCTGGTGCGATAGTTCTAATGCCACTGACTGAGTGAACAACTCTTGGTACGATAAACGAGGAGGGCATGCGTTGGATTTCAAATCGATTTCTACGTTGCTGGAACGAGGAGGGTAAGAGTAAATGAGAGAGAGGGAAAGAGAAACAGAAAGAGAAAAAGAGAAAGACATAGAGAGGAGGACATTCCTGGATAGGAAGCATGTACATGAAAGTGAGATATACTGTTGATACAATAAAGAGGATCGTTTGATAATACTGTTCATCGAGTTACATCGTGTCATTTTCTATACCATTTATATATATAATACTTGGAACTATTTTAAAGTGTTCCTCTTGTCCGACTTATTTTACGTTTGTTTCACTGTAACATGATCGCTACCATCTACTTGTAATACGTTTATCTTTTCTTTGTTGAATTTATAATTTAGCATTGGATGGATTATACTATTATTGATATATATATTTTATTTTTTTAATTAATAATATCTTTTTATTTGAGCTTTCTAATTGTTGTCGTTTGTTTTTTCTATTATCTATCATTTACATTTCAAACGAGCTTCTTCTTTTATTTCATTCATTTTCTTATTTGTTTTTTATTCAAGGCCAATCATATTGTTACAATTAATAAATTTATTGAGTTCCTGTAAACTAAATATTTATGTTTAAAAACTACGCATTAAAAAAAAACTACGCATTATAGTTTGATGAATGAAGTGGTGTAATCGATCGGACACTTGTTGCAGATTGTGTTTAGGGTAAAGGAAATGTTTACCTAACTATACCTTGTTTCATAATTATTTTTACAATTTATTGATTCATAAAAAAAATAAATTAATTATCATTTATTTATTGGAAAGTTAGGAGTCGTATTTCAATTTTTTGATCGTAGTTCGAACATGTTTAATAATTCCATACTTACACAATTATCTTACAGATAATAAACAAAAAAATATATATAGAAATAATTTGATGTTTTTTAATTTAAAAAAAATGCTTGTATCAATTAATTAAAAGATATTTATTAATCAATTAGTGACACAAACATGTTATTAAAAATCATGCTATTTTTCTTTCAATACACAAGATCGATTGTGATTTGTCGAATTGTTAACCAATAATGTTGCGCCATGAGTAAGACATTTAAACGTCATGAAGTAACAGTAAATTTCATAAAAACATACTGCAATAATTATTTGTATATTGACATAAGTCTTTAAAAATCTGTTATTATTTGTGAAAGATCGAAAATTAATAGACGAAGTTTGTTATCTTTAATAAATATATAGTACACGTATTTTTGTTTAATTAATAATGTATTTTGAAATATTAAATTATTTTAATATAATTAATCTGCATTTTTAATAAGAACATTTTTTTCTAATTATATTATATAAAAATAGTATGATGTTGAATTATGTACGAATTAATTGGGAATGAATTTTCTAATGCAAAACACTTAGAAACTGACATCGCATTTGTTGATCAATGTCAAAATTTGGTACTACGATCGAACCTAACCTAATTTCATGATACATGAAAGGTGTTCAAAAGGTGCTGGCTAAATTAAATAATAAAAGAAGAATAAATACAAATCATATGACGAATGATAAAAATATAGTATAACTTATTACGTATGAAATAGTAATTGAATATACATCAAAATGAGTGTGGTAACAGCTTTAAAGTTTTATATTACAAAAATGACAGATGAAACTGGACCGAGTATGAAGGTTCTTCTAATGGATAAGCAAACGGTAAATTAGTCATCCAATTTTATTAAACAAATATTATCAATTTTTATTTCAATTAGTTTATGATATACATAAATTTATATACATTTGTTCAATTAGAAATTATTTAGTAATCTTTTATTGATCTTAAAATATGTACAGATTTTTTGACAGCTGCTAGATATAATGTGTAAAAATTATATAAAATTTATTATTATTTCTTTAATCTTTACATTTAAATGTTTTTATTTACAGACAAGTATAGTTAGTTTATTATATAGCCAATCGGAGATGTTAATGAAAGAAGTTTATCTATTTGAAAGAATAGATTCCGGTTTACATACTGATAGTTTAAAGCATTTAAAGTGTATTGTTTTCATAAGACCAACTAAGGAAAATGTTCATTTACTTTGTAACGAACTAAAGTGCCCTAAATACGGTGTTTATTATATTTGTGAGTAACATAGCATTATATTTATATAATATGTTAAGTTTCAGTATTAATACAAATGTAATTTAAATGCATAGATTTTAGCAACATTATCGCAAAGGCTGATATTAAACTTCTGGCTGAGAGTGATGAACATGAAGTTGTCAGAGAAGTTCACGAATATTATGCTGATTATTTAGCGATTAGCCCACATTTATTTTCCCTTGGGATTCCTGCATGTTCTGAAGGTATTATAGTAATACAAGCAAGTATATCTCTTCAATATATTTTCTAATTAAAATAACAGTGAATATCAATTTAAAAATAAGATTAAAATGCGATTAATTTATTTTTAAGGTTTAGCATGGAATCTGGAACATTTGCAAAGAACTGTGCAAGGCATAACATCAGTTTTATTGTCCCTTAAGAAATGCCCATTTATACGTTACCAAAATAGTTCAGAAATGGCTAAAAAGTTAGCCGAGAAAATTCGTGAGGTATTAAGTAAGGAATCAAGTTCTTTTGAATTCAGACAGGAATCTAATCCTGTGTTACTCATTGTCGATAGAAGAGATGATCCAGTTACGCCATTATTAAATCAATGGACGTATCAAGCTATGGTCCATGAACTATTAACAATTAATAATAATCGTGTTAATTTATCTCATGTCAAAGGTATTTCTAAAGAACTCAAAGAAGTCGTTCTTAGCGCTGAACACGATGAATTTTATGCCAATGTAAGAAAATAATCTAAATAATTATTATTGAGGATTATCTATAACATTTATATTTATAAATATATTATTTTTTCGAACAGAACTTATACCTAAATTTTGGTGAAATTGGACAGACAATAAAAGAGTTGATGGATGTGTTTCAAGGAAAGGCAAAGAAGCAACAGAAAGTAGAAAGTATAGAGGATATGAAAAATTTTGTAGAAACATATCCGCTGTTTAAAAAAATGTCAGGAACTGTAGCTAAACACGTAACTGTCGTAGGAGAACTTTCTTCGCTTGTAGGAAAACATAACTTGTTGGAAGTATCAGAATTAGAACAAGAGCTCAGTTGTCAAAATGATCACTCAGCACAGGTATATTAATTTTATCTGTTATTATTGTATATTTGAATGCAAAATTGTCTATTTATAAAAATAATATTTCTTTTCTTTTCACAGCTCCAAAGAGTAAAAAAACTTATCAATGATGAGAGGGTAAGGGAAGTTGATGCTGTACGACTAGTCATGCTTTATGCGCTTCATTATGAGAATCATGCAAATAATCAGATTTCGATTTTATTAGACTTATTAAAGAAAAGAAATATTTCTGAAAAATATATTAAGGTAATAAATTATTAATATGTATATCTATGATAAATTAAGCACATATATTGCAAAATTCTTATTGTGCATAAGTTGGAAAGTTAATACAAAATTTTCTTTTTACTCAACAGCTTGTTCATAATGTATTAGAGTATAGTAGCATTAATAATAGGCAAAATAATCTATTCGATAAAGAGTCAGTTGTAAAAATCACGAAGAAACTATTTAAAGAATTAAATGGAGTGGATAATGTATATACGCAACATACACCGCTAATAAATGAAACTATTGAAGATTTAATAAAAGGAAAATTAAATATACAAACATATCCATTTTTGGGAAACATAGTTATGACTAAACGGTAGATACAAAGACTTTTCTATAACTATTTAATGTACCATTAATGATTTGTAAACATACCTTTATTCGTTTACTTCATAGGCCACAAGATATTATTGTGTTTATGATCGGTGGGACAACGTACGAAGAAAGTTTAAATATATATAATTTAAACAAACAAAATCCAGGTGTACAAATAATTTTAGGCGGTACCACGATCCATAATTTTGAAAGTTTCATAGAAGAAATGAAGTGCGCTACTTCTGGAATTTTTCCAAGACACAGATCAAGAAAAAATTAATGGTAAAGGAAGTAAATACTAAATTTCTAATTCCATACATAAAAGTCATGCATTTAAAATGCAAAATAATAATAATAATAATAATAATAATAATAATAATAATAATAATAATAATAATAATAATAATAATAGCTTATATTTCCAAAGAGATAAACTGCATATTACTGTCAAATATATATATATTTATGACACTGTTATCCAAAATTTTTATTGTTACTATTTGAATACCTGAAAATAAATCTTATTCATCTCCATCTTCATCTAATATATATTCTGCATCTTCGTTAATCATTTTTTTGTCCTTTATTGGCACCTAAAATATATATTATATTTTTCATTGGAAATAACCAGATTGACTTGTCAAAAATATAATGTTCAGAAATGTTTAATAATTTACCTCCAATTTTCCAGTTAACAAGGCATAACCGACCATAGCTACAAAAGCAAATATTCCAGCTAATACTTGATCGCGTCGTTTGTTAGGAAATTCCAAATACGAATCTTTTCTCATTTTATTTATATTATTTTCAGATTTAATTTTTTCATATTGAATATATTCATCTCTAAAATATTTCTGCGATATATGCGTTACAAAATTCACTAAATTCGTGCATGCTTTCAAATGATTTTGCAAAGAAGGGTTAACTAATGGTGTTTTCAGTAATGGCGCTAAATAAGAATACACGACTGCATCCAACATAGTATGGGATTGACCAAGGAAATATTTTGAATTTCCAAGTCTAGTTGATAACGACGTTAAACATTTTTGAGCTTCTGAATATACCTAAGAGAATAAAAATTTTCTATCTAATTATACAAATATTCGATTACTCGAACGAAATAAGATTACAATCTTTTTTCATATATTAATATATGAAATAACAAGTTTTATATTGTTATATTAATCTCTTTCAAATTCTAATGTTCCTCGATCGCTTTAGTTATTATTTTGCGGTGTATAAAATCAGAGGTGAGCACGTAGCTTACCAATAACTTTAGAAGTACCCTTATTCTTTCCCCAACCCTTTCTATTTTGCTTTATTTGAAGGGTTAACAAATGACTGTACCGTCAGTTTTGTTCATTCATCTTATCTTGCTCCAGTTAGACTATGTGTTTAACAGAGATAAAAAAAATATATCATAAAAATATATTAAATTAGAGCATATATACAAAGCCGATCATAAAATATATGTATAATCAAAATGGACTGATATTAAAAGAAAAGAATTTCAAGAATTATGTACAATTGTTAAGAGAGGGGAAATAGGCGCAGAATACATTTATCCCGTGCCCACCTCCGTGTTAAAGCATGTCATTATTTTGGTGCATACATTTAATTACCTTATTTCCTATCACAGTCATATTATCTTCCATAGGATACAACGTTTCTATCACAGCTTTAGCTTGATTTTCAAATTTACTCGGATAATAATAATTAAAAGGAAAAGGCACAGCTTTACAATACCAAGGTCTTATTAACTCGTTAAGGTTTGCTTGATCTAACCACCTATGAGTAACAGTAAATTACTAAAGTAAAGATTATTTATAAATTATAAATGTATATCCTAAAAGAAAAGAAAAAAAAAGAAAATTAATATTATAATAAAAAATTGTATACCATATAAATTGCATTGCAGGATAAAGTTTATCTTTAAGCATAGTGTCATAAGCTATAAATTCAGCATATTCTTTAGAACCGTTTTCAGAGTTTTCAAAATTTGTTTTTTTAAGATATAATATTATTTCGCTAACTTTATCCAAACAAGTATGTTTTGTCCTTAATACAGGTAATCGACCATTCGATGTTTTGAAAGGATTATTTGTCGCTTTTACTTGTAATGGAATCCCATTGAATCTTGCATAAGCCTAAATGCAGATAATGTAAGCAGAATAAAATGAATTATAAACAATTTTAAAATAGCACTAGTAACTTTAAGATTACATTAAACAAGCATAAATGTTATCTTAAGCAAAAATTATTAAAACGACATAAGTATGAAGTTGATATTAATTTCTATAATGTTTAAAATATTTCTACTATATAAAATACATGACACATGTATGTGTATATACCATAACTTGCAAACATTCTGTATCAATTGACGGTAAACCCCAATCACCTTTCCACACATCTAATTGCATTTTGTCACTCGTACTCATTTTTCGAAAATACTTTTAAATTACTCTTTTTTTTGGAGGTTATAAATAATCATTCACGTGGAGTTATCTATCGTTTGCAGATACTTGCACCGGCTTTACATCACAATTTTAAATGCAATAGTATTCTATCTTATCTTTCCTTATCATCAAAAAGATCATTACTTATTATTGAAATATTTTTTCTGTAATAAAATTATTAAACCAACGTTTTTGCGTTGTTCGATTTTTTAACAATTAGTTTTAAATAATAATACAAAATTAATCACAAATTGTTTTTCATAACTTTCATTCAAATTAATTAATTAAAGTACAGTGGCGCCCAGTAATGCCAGGACGTTAGATTTTTCCCACGCATGCGCACTATCTAATCCTCAGTAAAGTATATACTTCACTTAAATATGGGGTATCATTAGACCCCAGTGACAATTGAAATATGGTAAAAATTACAAGAAGAAGACATTTAAAAAAAAATAACATATTTACACTACAATTCAATATATTATATAACATTACGCGATTCACCTTCACTTTAACGAAAAACGCGGGAAACGATTGGGAAGGGCCTCTTACGCGTACCCACTGTTGCACATAGATACGTTCATGGATGCAATCGCCGTTGACCTGGGACGCGCAAGCGCATGCGCACGAAGGCTCCCACGTGGGAGAAATCTTACGTTGTGGCATTACTGGTGGCGCCTCCCTGTTTTGGTTATCTTTGAATGCATCAAATTATCTCCCACTTTCTGTCATATGAATATAAATAAGGATTGTTTTTCATATGTGATTACAAAATTATAATTGAGAGAAGTGATAAAGATTTTAAAAAACATCATTAAACAATCGTAGAATGTTATGAAAATGAACAGTAACATAGAAAGTGAAAATGACAACACAAAATATTGTACATTGTAAGTACATTTAAAAAAATTTATTTTAGTTTAATATAAATGAATGATAAATTTTTAACCTATTTATATTTGCATTTACATATTTAACAATAATTTTTTATAATTACAGATGCAATGAAAAAATCAAAATTTACACTTGTCCAAGATGTGGTATAGGTTATTGTAGTTTAAATTGTTATAAATCTGAAAGACATTTGGATTGTACAGAAAGTTTTTACAAAGAATGTGTCGAAGAAGAACTTAAATCTTTGCAAAATGATCCTGAAACTAAACTAAAAATGCTTGATATTTTTAAGAGATTGAACGAACAAGATATAGAAAATGATACGTTTGATAGTGAAGATAAAGAATTAGAATTTGATGATGAACTAGACTCAGATGATGAAACAGACGTAAGTTATTATTTATATGTCGATAGATGTATGAAATGTATATAAATATTTTTTTTAGTTACCTGATTTGGAAGAAAGATTAAAGAATATTAATTTAGATATACCGGATGAAATATGGGCAGTATTAAACGACGAAGAAAAACAACAATTTAAAGCTTTAGTCAAAAGCGGAGAAGCTTCTACATTATTACCACCATGGGTACCATGGTGGATAACTTCCAGAAAGCCGTTGATAGAAAGTTTGGACACAATAGAAGAAAATGAAACAAGTAATGAACATAAAGCAGAATATCCAGAAATAATAGATGTTCCACCATTTAACATACAGAAAGTAATATTATGATGCATATATAAATTATTTGACGTTGTTTCTTTTCATGATTTTATAATGTTAATTTTGTGTTTTTCAACACATTTAGGTGGTTTCATCAAAAATATTAAATTCTACCATCACTAACGTGATTTACGCTTATGCCTATGTAGCCCTTTATTACAACGGTGATTACTTAAGCCTTTCAGAAGAAGCTACTAATATCTTTCTTAGCATCTGCGACAGTATGAGAATAAACAAAACATTTGATAATGAGTTATCTGCGCTTCAATCTGTTAAAGAAAATATTATGAAAATAGAATATTTACCCAAAGACGAACAGACGTTAGTAAACTTTGTAGAAGCTACTATTTTTATAATTAAACATCCAGAAAAAGAACAAGATACTTCGCATACTTGTGCTGCTCTCTCCGAGCTTTGGCGATTGTTAACAAGTGCACGAGAGGAAATCAAAGTTAATAAACATAAGAAAGTAGAAAAGAATTTTTCGAAAAAATTAACTCAAGATAGTGTAATAAAAAGTTATAACTTATCAAGAAAAATGTTATTTGCATGCACGAAAAAATTAGAATTTTATGTATCATGGATCAAATCTTATGGCAAAGATGTATTTACATAAAATATATCAATGTTTGTAACAATTAAATAAATTTTATTACATATTTATCAGAAAAAATACATGTAATAATAATTAATGTCGTTTTGGTTTTTTACATACATGAAGAACTTAAGAACATAACCTAAAAACCGGCATTAACTATTACTACACATGAGGTAGCGTTCTAAAGGAAAACAAATGTTCATATTTAAGAATGTCAAACAAGAATATAAATGATGGTGAATCTTCAAGTTCAGAGGATGAAATAATTAAAAAGGCTTTAAAAGAAGCAGCAGATATTAGTTATTTAAAATCCAATTTATTCGACGCTCAAATTACAAAAGATTCTGTAATTACTAAAAATATCTAACCTATTTTACTATCACTAAGGTTATGCATTAGTTATATTTTAATAATATTCCTTTATTTTAGGAAACTAAAGAAAAGTTAAATAATACAAATGCAAAATCATTGAGACAAAATTTAGAAGAAAATGATGATTTTTTTAATTTTGGAGTGACAGTAACGTTTAAAGCTTTCATTGCCAAAAAATTAAATGCTTTGTTGGAAAGGTAAATAATAAAGATAAATGAAAGTGTTATACGCGAATATTTATTAATGTATTTTTTTTTTAGAACGGTACAGTGGGACGAACGAACGAATTCACAAACCACTATTCAAGATAATAATGAAGATAAATTAAACAAGAACAATGGTATAAAACTTTTGAACTCTTCAACAATTCTGTTAACAGCTGAAGATGAAGTTGAGGAATTACATAATTATAAAAGAAGAAAAAAAAGTGTAGACAAAGTAATAGATAAATCAAAATTCCAGGAAGCAACTGTAAATCCAGAATGGATATTATCCAAAGTAGAAACTAAATTTTGGACAGAAAGACGTAAAGGAGCAGTTTTTAAATATAAAAAATCAAAAGATGGTACTTTAGTGGAACAGAATTAAATTAATTTAATTTTATTTAGTTCTTTTTTACATAAATATAACAGAAAAAACAAACATAAGTACCAAGACAGATATTTTTATTTTAAATTAACATGGAATTGAAAACTTTTATCCAATTAATTAATCATAGTCTTCAAAAATATATTTAAATATTCATATATTTAATTTCCATTAAATATTAAATATTTTTAATTTTATAAAATACAATTTTTAGAGTCTTTGAATTTCATTGGTTAGAAGGTAGCCATTTGTAAATAAAATCAATCCAATCACGTTTGATTTATCATATGTTCGATTAATCGAATTAATAATCGACTCGTGAAACAAAAGTTAACACACGAATTTACATTGCAATGTTAATAAAGAAATAAGCTAAAGTGCGTCAAAGTATTATAAAAGAAACGGATTTTCAATTAAAAATATATTTGTGGGTTAAGTTTTATGACAAGGTTCAGTCTTATAATCGATAATCTTTTTCTCTTTCTCTTTCTGATTTTTATAATCTTACCAACCTCAAACAGGGTGCTTTTCGTTAATCGTTTCGATCGCGTTCGAGTAAACTCGAGTGAACTCGACAAAACTCGATACAATTCGATATACATAAGAGTCATCGAAATGGAAAGCACCCATTGTATAATTGTGTAGGTAATAATCTCTTTTAAGAAATTCCAAATATATTATTGATAAAGAAGTCCAATCTAATGAAACGTAAGTGAAATGTTTAATAATGTTGGAATGAAAGAAATAAAAATAGGAAAAGTCTTTAGCGTCTTACCAATTGTGAAAGATTTTTTTCTTAAATCTTATTAGAATCATATAATATAGTAAAAAGTTATACACAGCACACACATGTGTACACATACACATACACACATGTATATATATATATACATACGAGAGAATCTTCACGATCATTATAATGATACCGAAAAATCATGTTAATAATAATATCTTCTATTAGTATTTAAATTTACTAAGGGAACTAAACGATACTACAAAGAGGTTGGAAAATTGTATATATTCACGACGATTCAAGGCTAAAACGTAATTTTGTAAAATGTCTGTGACCTTTGCTCAACGCGGCAGACCAACTCTAACGCCAGCACAGATACAAAAGGTAATTTAAAATGTTTTACTTTATTTTTACATTATATTTGTCTATCTTATTTAATAATATTTGCTATTATTTATTTTTTAGATGCTAGATGAAAACAGTCAACTAATACAGACTATTCAAGAGTATCAAAGCAAAGGCAAACCCCAAGAATGCATACAGTGCGTAAATCTTTTATTAAATCCTTGCATTTAAGTAGATTAAGAAAAAAATGAATTGAAAAATATTTAATTTATTTATTTGTAGGTATCAACAACTGTTGCATCGTAACCTTGTGTATCTGGCATCCATTGCAGATGCAAATCAAAATATACAAGCATTACTTCCGGTAATATATGTAATTATTATACTTTGTTATAATATCAATATAGTTACAAAAGAAGTATAATATTAAGAAGATATTTTGTTTATAATAAGCCGCCACAAGGAATTCCAAATGGACCACAGCATCCGATAATCAGTCCACAAGGGCTTCCAAGTGGTCCAGGAAATTCAACCGGTCCAGGAGCAGATATGCCTCCTAATACGCAACCAACATTACCAATGTCTAATTTTAATCAAGGACAGCCTATGACGCAGGGTGGTTATCGAGGACCTGTAATGCCTGGTCAAGGCCCTGCTATTAACAGTATGTTTTTAAATGTTCTTTATATTGTACTAAAATATTAAATAATCTAAAATTATTAATTGTACTGTTGCTTGTCTAGGACCTACTGCTGCACCCGGACCTCAACAATATAGAGGCGGTCCTCAATACTCTCAACAACCAACACAGCAAGCATATCCTGCTCAATATGCTAATCAAAATCCAGGGTCTAATTATCAAGGACCCCAAGGAGCTGCATATACGCCTGGTCAACCAAATCAATATGGGCCACCAAATGCGTCTCAGCCACAAGGATATAACACATCTTCGCAGCCAAATTATGGGCCTCCAACTACAGTAAATAGCTATGGCCCACAACCAGGTTATCCTCCTCCAGGATCAAGTCAGCCACCTGCTGGATATGGACCTCCCCCGCCAAATCAACAAGGCTATCCTCCCTCTAATACATCTCAACAAAACTTCCAATCTGGTGGTCAACAACAACAAACTGGACAATATGGAAATCCAAGTCCACAACCAAACTATCAACAAGCTCCATCACAACCTCCACCACAAAATGCATACGGAGCTGGCCAACCAGGAACTTATCCCCCACCTTCCTCTCAAGCTTATGCCAATAATGTACCTCCGCAAAACTATCCACCTCCTCCTACATCTAGCACAGCTCAACCCCCACAACCAGGCTCACAGCAAACTTCTGGACCTCAATCCAGTTACGGTAATCAATCAAGTCCTGGTCCTGGTCCAACACAATATGGTCCAGCTTCTACATCTCCTCCATTTAGTACTGCGGCAGCAAGTGCAGCTAATACATATGCTCAAAGTAGTCAACCAACTAGTACACCATCTGCTTCCACACAGACTTATTCACCAAGCAGTGGTCCACCACCTACATCTCAGGGTGGAAACTATGCCCCTGTTCCAACGCCTTCTGTTTATCCAGTTCATCAATCGCCTCATCCAAGCTCTCATCCATCACATCCATCTTCACATCAATCGCCAATTGCTAATACTTATGTTCAAAGTAGTCAACCAACTAGTACGCCATCTGCTTCCACACAAACTTATTCACCAAGCAGTGGTCCACCACCAACATCTCAAGGTGGGAATTATGCTCCTGTTGTACCTACATCTTCCGTCTATCCAGTTCATCAAAATCCTCATCCTAACTCTCATCCTAACCATCCACCTTCTCATCAATCACCTCATCAACCTCCCCATACTCCACACCAACCTCCCCATCAACCATCTCATCAACCACCGTCTCATCAACCTTCTCATCAACCTCCTCCACAGTCTCAACAACAATCTCAAAATCCTCCACAATCACAGCAGCAACAATCCCCAAGTCCTGCTTCAAGTGGATTCCAACCATCGTCCGGTCCACCCCAGGGCCCTGCACCACCACCGGGACCCCAGCCGCAACCAGGATATGGACCTGCGACAACACAAACATATGCCCCGCCAACTCCTGGGGGCCAACCACAGGTAATTACTATTTAACTAATAATTTATAATTTATATCGTATATTTTGGTTTGGTTTGTTTCATTATTATACTAAAATAAATAATAAATTATAGGTTTACACCCCGCATCCGCCACAGGGAGGTCAACATTATGGACATCCCCAATATCCTCCACAAAGTTATCCACCTCCACCAACAGGACAAGGTTATCCACAATACCCACCACGACCACCCGGTGGACACATGCCTCCTCCACCAGGACCACAAGGACCACCACCACCTAATCAGTATGGAGGATATGGCTATCAACCTCCTCCACAATAGAACAAACTATAGTTAAAAGAAAAGAAAAAACAAACATAAATGTTTTTCTCTCTATTTCTATCTCTGTCTCTGTCTCTTTTTCTATCTTTATCTTTATCTTTATCTTTATCTCTATATTTGAGAAATATTTCTTGTAAAATTTTATTTTTACCGCATTAATTAAGCATACAGAGTATTATCGTTGAATGAAGATATTACTCTTTAATTATTATTTTATATAATATTAAGAATTTCTTTTCTTCTTTATCTATTTTCTTTTTTAAATATTTTTTTATACGTTATAATTGTTTTAATGGAATTTAAAATTAGGATTTTTCTTATTTGTTTAATTTCGTGTTAGTAGATCTTTTGCATTATTGAATTATTTCTCCCTGGATTATCTTATGTAAAAGTAAGTTCAATTAACATGTATTTTAGATTTTGTACTCGTCATCACATTTAATTAAATATTTCAACTTATGAGTTAACGTCATGATATTATTTTGTTTTCAGAATGGAAATGATAATGTTTCTTTCAAGGATGCATGTATAGTTGACTAAAGCTTTTATTCTATTACCAAAAGAAAGGGTATACTTTTTAAAAGAATTTGCAAATAGAAACAACAAATGTATATTCCTCTCTCTCTCTCTCTCTCTCTCTAAATGTTAAATTATAAAAGAAATGATAATGTAATTAAAAAAAAAAGAGCGCATAGAGTTTATCATCAAATATAATGTAATATAGTAAAAAATAGTGTTTATATAAAACAACCAAAATAAAAGAAATATATTTAGCATCATAAAACATAATAATTATCACAAAATGTGAATAGCTCATATTAAAATGTTTAACGCATTGAGATTAAACAATTTTAAAGCTCATCCTTTAAATTGACATCATCAATATTACATTGACAGGAATGCTGCGGTTGTAAAACTTCCTCCATGTTATCTAAAACCTTGATCTTATTAATAAGACGTTTACTCCATTCCTAAAAAAAAATAATAACAATAATAAAGCATGCTATTTTATTAAAAATAATAAAAATATAGTAAATAATTTGAATAAATGACTCTTCATTCATACTCGAAGTAGCACGCTGTGGTAACAAATAACATTCAGCGGCAATAGATGATCTCTTGCATATTGTCTAGCAGTTTTAGAAATATTTAAAGCAATTTCATCATTTTCTTTGGCCCATTTAATTTTTTCGACTAAATCAGATAAATCTCTTTTTACGGGTATATAGTGTGTTTCAGGTACTAAATCATTATAAAAATATTCATAATATTTCGAATCTTGTTTCAGTATTAAAGAATCTCCTGCTAGTAAATATGGAAATCTGTATGCTGCTACTGTACCATCAATATTCAATTGATACTTGTGCTAAAGAGATTGAAATTATAAATAAAATAAATATATTCATATTTTTCTTATATGTAAAGGTTTCTATGTTAACACATTTTTTAATTTTGTAATAATCATATAATATATATATGTTTACCTTAAAAAATTGGAAAAATGAAACGTAACTTTGCGGAGGACCGTATTTGTCAATTTCATTCTTAAAAAAAAAGAAATTAGTAAGAGATACATTAAATAAGTCAGGATGGTTCCTGGAAATGTCTATGAGATTAAGACGTTCTCTACGGGAATCACGACCACGCCAGAATAATTTTTCTATTTTCTTTTCCCATGGGGTATCTATGTTACCTTGCACGGATAGCATATCTAGCATTACTCTTTTAGTGATGCAGCACATTCATATTACATAAAAAAGAATTCTAATTAACGTTTGTAATAATATGAATTATAATGTTGAGTTAAGTTATTTCTTTGAAATATTAATTAAACGAATAGGTATCATTAGAAGGAAATAGAATAAAATAATAATTAATTAATTATTAATTGTTTTCTACCTTCCCATAGCTTCCAAAGATGATTGTGTGATATCATATGTTGGCATAACAATATCTTTTGAATCGTTAGACCCACACCATGAAAAAATAGGATAGTTGAGTTCTTTGATTGGAACAAGCGGCCAATCTCCCAAATTAACAAAAAATTCAACATCCGGAAGAATTACTTTGCGTGCAAGCGAAAGCAATATCGCATCCATAAATATTTTAAATCCTACGTGTTGTCCGTAGCATCGCCTATAAATCTAATACGATTATATTAAAAATGAATTAAAAAAATGATAGAGTGTTTACAAATTAGAATAAGTGCTTACTCTATTATTTTTGATAACATAATGACAAAGACTAACGCTGTTAGGCTTGTCATATTTCTTAATCAAAGGATTACGTATTTTGTTAAAATCTACACTAACAAAAGGAGTAAGATCAGAAATAATTTGTGCGTAATTATTTGGACATTCATAATCATTCAACCATTCATTAAAGTTTGTATTTGGACAATAACATTCTTCCTCATATGCAGGACCTAAAAAAATCCTTAATAATTTAAGCTAAAAATAATTGTACATTTCATCCATATAACATACCCATCATTTCTAATCGTTGTACTTGTAAATCTTGTTTGTTTATTTTTACATTTAAAGTCATATTCATACAAGTATTATGAAGTTTATAACGGATAATAAAACTACCATCTTTACGGTCTAAAACTTGCGTCCATATATGACATGATTGTTTTTTCCAAGTTTGACCTTGTACTTTAGCGGTAACAAAGCCTGCACCAGGTGAAACAGTTAAGCTACGGCATACGGTTATTAACTATTTTAATGTACAAATCATTAAATTAACCATTTATTATAGTTGATTAAATTTGTTAGAAAAATTGCATAGTAATTTTTCAAGTTAGTTTGTTAGAATATATATAAATTTACAATTATTTAATATAATAAAAAAATGTTTATTTTTTAATTATAATTTACTAAACATTAAAAAGCTATAGAAGAAAAATATTTACTAACTTTTGACCATTTGTGTCTACAAGCTGTAAAAAAAAATATCTTGCTCGCATTATTATTTTGTCAGGTTTTAAGCCGGGACCCCAAATTATTGTTTTTGCAATATCTATTTCAATATCAGAGGATAATACGATATTATCCATTTTTTCATAAATAATTAATAATAATATGTACGCTATTAATTTCATTTTTTTGATAATTATTACTAAATCATTTATCACGTATATATATATTTATATTTTTATATTATTTAATAATTAATAATGTTGAAGTACTAAAATATATACTCTCTTCTAACAATTGATTTATCAATTTTTTAATGTTTTTTTTCGCGCTATAAATGCCGCGCGGTTTATTTCACGTGGTTATAAGGGCCAATGAATGAGTTCAGAGTTAATAAACACAATATTTAATATTTATTCAATATATTTACACACAGATTTAAAAGCTAAGAGAGTGTTTGTTATTTTATATCTTGAGCTAGTAGTTTTTTTTGTCACTAGTTGATATCACGTGAGCTACTAATCTACCCAAAGTCCCTATGCTCTTGTCACATTAAACTAGATAACATAGATAGCGCTAGTGTATGCACATGTAAATGGAGCGAATTTTTAAAGATTTCAAACAAGTTAAACATTTATTTTCGTAAATCTTAATACAAAAAAAGATTGAATAATTTCAATTTAACAAACAATGTCACAATATTGTTGTAGTACTGAAGATATAAAAATAATTGATTTTGGTGAAGTTGAAATGGGTAAAACGGTTGTCAAATCAATTGAGATATATAATGAAAGTTGTGTTAGTAATGTTTATTATTTTTAATATTTAATAATATTTCTCTTATTAATTTTCTATATTCATAGCTTGGATAATTGAACTAATAGTTTATATTTATTTCAGAAAGAACAGATTTATGAAGCACGAAGAGATCCTGTAACTAATCCTATGGATCATGTTTTTAATTTGAAAACGTATACTTGGACTTTGTTGCAAGAACAATGTTTTTCTTGCGAAATACAATATCGACCCCTTGTACCATCTTCTAGAAATGTGGATTATTTTATTATTACTGGCAATGTTTCTACATATATCAAAATTATTGTTCGTGGAACTTGTATTGGTAAGTGTTAAATAATTATCTATGATATTTATCAGATGTAATAAATAATGTTTTTTTTTTTTTCAATCAAGATTTATATTTATTCATTTATTTATTTATTATTTAGGTCCTGCACTTTCATCATCAAAAAATAAAATTGTATTAAAGTGCTCAAGCAAATGTACACGAGTAAAAAAACAAATAAAGCTTTGGAATCATTCGAAAGTAAAAGCTTCATTTATATTCGACATTGATATAAAACACAAATATTTTAAATTAGATATCATAGAGGGTGTAATTAATCCTGGTGATTACAAATACATAACGATCACTTTTACACCGATTAAAGAAGGAATTTATGTGTACCATTTACCATGTTTAATATTGTATCAGGTTAATTAATTGATCATCATTTATATTATTTATAAAATTAATATAACATATTATATTTTAATATTTACAGGATCCAATTATGATTAAATTATATGGATTTTGTACATCAGTTTATAAAGAAATCAACATTACATCAAACTTGGATGAATTTAATTCACAACCATTAAATGGTTTTGAGGAATATATGAACGATAGTATTAATATAAAGAAAGGAAATTTAGGATTGGTATCTGTGTCTAACAATTATTTCGATTTTGATCAGATTGATATAAAAAATAAAATAAATAGAAGTCACCAAACTGTTTGTTTTACAAATCATAGCTACATGAATTTATTACTCAGGTGGGATCAAGGTAATTTTATTTCAATAATAAATAATTCTATGACTAATGAAAAATGAAAATATTTCAGATGATACAGGAGTCTTTAAAATAGAGCCATGTACAGCAAAAATATATCCAAACAATTCTGCTTTGTTTGAAATCATTTTTCAACCTAATGAGGAAAACAATTTATATACGAAGCAATTTATTGGGTATTTTTTTGATGATGACTTTAACAATGAAGATGAACTTTTTACGGTTCCTTTCTTTACATGTTTACGAGTAATAGGTGAGATCTGTTTAAAAGAAATAATTTTCTTTTAATTATCTAAAAATTATTTATTATATTCACAGGACATTCTTTTCCTGCTAGTTCTGCAGGATGGATTCCTCAGTATGAATTACCATCAACTATTATACTACCACCATGTATTCCACCGCTATCAGTTTATACGACATTTGTAATAAAAAAATTTGGCCATTTGCCTTTAATGTTTCGGTTTTTGCCTCCAGTGGATAGCCACTTCATAGTAAAACCAATGTTAGGAATTATTTATGGGTAAGAAATTCTAAAATTACTATTACTGTTTATTAAAATTATAAGATTATTAAACAATTGTTTTTTAATATTGTAGGAATTATCAGGTGGTGGTAGTTCAAATATGTCCTGAAATGACAGGAGAGCATTTATATATGGAACAATGGGCAATATGTTTTAATGGAAAGAACAAAGATTATATTAGTTTTAAAGGATATGCTGAATACGCAAATATTAGTTTTAATAATAGTACAATAACATTTGCTACAGTAAATTTAGATACCCAAAAAAAAGAATCAATATTTATGAGAAATATTACTCGTCACACTATAATGTAATGCATTATTGAAATTCATTAATGTAAACACAATTAATTTGTATAATTTACAGGTATCAGTTTTTGAATGTGCCATCACAATTGATCGTTCCATATTCAAAGGGCCAGATTTATGCTAACGATATCCTCTCTCAAGAATGGATATTTCATCCTAAAAAATGTGGCGAATATAATTTTGATATTAAATGTATTCTGATGATCGTACAAAACGGTGTACTTGTTGGAACAGAAGTTTGCATGACATTGCACATTACTGGGAAATGCGAAGCTGGTTTACTTGTGGTAATATGTTTAGTATATATTTGTTTAATAATTTATCATATTAATATGATTTATATTTTCAGGCAGTACCTAATGAATTAGATTTTGATATACAATCATATGGGAACGAAAAAATGAAGAGTTTCTATCTTTATAACTTTAGTCTCGTGAATATACCTTTCAAAATATGTTATCATCGTTCTTGGCCAATTGGATCTATCAAATGTGATGTAAAAATATTTCCACTCTCTGAAACCATTCTTCCAGGAAAATCAGAAAAAATCACTGTGTCTATTACTCCATACACACCTGGATTTTACGAAATTGTAATAGAATATTTGGTAAGAATTAATTCTTGGACGGATGATATCAGTTATATGCAATTACCTCGACAAATATGCAAAGTTTATTGTAAATGTGAATTACCAACTTTAAAGGTAAATACTTATATTAGTTAGAGAATTTTTTATTTGGAGAAATTTCATTTAAAAATAATTATTATTTTATAAGATAGATTGAAGACATACACTTTTATGGAACTTGTCCGTCAATAAGCAAAGTTATGTTATGGAAAATAATAGAAGTAAATAAGTATGTTGAATCAAATTTATATGTAATTTGTATATTATAAAAAAAGAAATTTTATGTTATTTATTTCTAATATAATTTTTATTTCTAGATTCAATATTGTTTTGAAAAATATATTGCCTTATGAAGAAGAATCACGATACATATATTTTCCACCAATGATATTAAATGAAAATCCAATACGTTTAAAATTATATATTTCTAATCCTACGTCAGTAAATGCTACATGGGATATTAAAAGAAGGAATTTATGTTCCTGTAAACCAATAAGTAAATCACGCGGTATCTCATTTCGATATGTAGACTTCAATTGCATTCACAAGAAAGTATGTTCTATTTATCCACGATCGGGATTTTTAAAGGTAAACAAACAATCGACTAAACTAGTTACATATATCAATTAATATAATTAAGTGTATTTTCTTTTAAAGCCCAAAGAAATAGTTGCGATTGAAATAGAACTACGATATATATTATTAGGAAAAACTCAAGTAAAATGGGATTTAAATATTGGACATGAACGTCATATTATTTTATACATTCAAGTGAATTCTTTATCCGGATCTGAAAAAAGACTTCATTTTTTTTACAAACCAGTTGTAAAATTGGAGAATGCTTATTTTGGTGATAAAAAAGCTCAACATCGGGTAAATTATTTAAAGTAATACTTTCTAAATATAGTGAGTGATTGATTTACAAATATAATTTATTTAAAGATGATGTTCACAGTTCGAACTTTTCGTTAATCGATCACCTACTGTGTTATCTTACTTATAAATATTTTTAAATTAAAATTGAATTTCAGATATGTTGGATTTATAATTATACAAACAATTATTTACCTTATACCCTGGATATTACTAATTTAAATAAAATAAATCAAATCTGTCGTTCAGAAATACTCGCATGTTTGAATCCAGATGGTATTGCGCAGCCACGATCCGTTACACCTCTTATTTTAAAATTTCATCTTAAACAATTTAAAGAGATTGAAGTATCAACATATCTGATTGTTTTGATATTGTTCTTTAAAATACGCGTATATTATTTTTAAATAGATATTAAATTTATTCAGGTATATCTTCCTATTACTCTTGGTGACAAACAAACGGAGTTAATAATTTACTGTGAACCTTCCATTGTATATCCACTTAAAATGACTAAAAGAATTCTACCTAATTTAAACGCTTTCAAATGCAAAGAATTTCCAGTATATTTTTCAACTGATTATATTCAACTATCCACAAGTATGCATAACCATGTTGTTAAAATGATTATGATGTATAATAATACAACAAGTGATAGATTCGCTTACACGTGGAAAAAGTTTGTAATCACATTAATTCAAATTAATTTTACAATTAATATTTAATTTAAACGAATCATTTTTTATTAATTATAGTGAAAGTGTATCAGAGTTATGTGATATAAAAGTTTATCCAACAGAAGGTATGATACAACCGAAAAAGCTTCAAAGTGTTCGCGTAATAATTATTACGAAAGGTGTTAACTGTCAAGTAGATGTTAATATAACTTGCGAATTTCTTAACATCACTCAAAGACGAAATCTTCAAAGAAAAATTTATAAATACAATGATATATGCGATCAATTTAAATCAGAATTTATTTTGACTGAAAAAGGTGAACATTTTCCGGTAAGAAATAATAAATTTAATAATTATTCCTAAAATATTAAAAATTAAAAAAAATATTGAATATTGCAGAAATTACCACCCAAACCAGAAGGAAAGCTTGAAATATGTTGCAAAACATTGTTCATACTTTGTAATATTTACAGTCCAGAAGATATTTTTTTAAGGACTACGTTAAAAGAAGAATTGAAAATGACTCCAACGGAAGAACTTCAAATAGAACAAAATAAAAAATTTGTTCACAGTCATGAACACAATAAAATGATGCTGTTTATTTTAGAAGGAATGATATGGTAAGATTTGTAATAATATTACAAATTTGATTAATTAATTAAAATATTTTTATATATTTTTCTAGGGATATTCTTAACAGTAGACTATTTAAATACACGATTCAAAAACATGTGCTAAATGGACCGCATTTGTATTATACTCAATTTTTAACTAATTCGTTAGATCGTGAAAAAGTAATAACTAAATCGTACATAGCAACACCACGAAAGTTGATTGCATCTATTTTAGAAAAGGTGAGATAATATTGCTCGATATTTAATATAGTAATTTTATTTTGTAATATCTTTAGATGTTGTTTCTTATAATTCACGAAGAATTTCAATTGGAAACAGCACACTTATTTAAAGAAAAAGATATCAGACATATAAATAATGTAAAAATATTACCCACATTAAAAGTGCGCGAAGAAGATGAAGGGGATAGCTTTTATGATAACTTAAAGCATCATTCCACAGAACTTAGAATTTCTTACATAGATTAATTAATCTCACTTTTGTTTAGGTTTTAATATAAATAAAAAATTATATTTATTCAAGTAGATACATAATAATACATCATTTGTCATTTTGTTGTTCTAACATTGGATCTCGAATTCGTTTAAATATTGCTAAAAATTTACTTCCGCTATTTCTTGTAACTTTTTGACCTTCTTCCGTACTTTCATAAAGTTTTTTAACTATAGGATCAGCAGCCTTTAATACATCAGAATATTTTCAATTATAATTACGATAGAGATGATGAAAGATAAGATTATTTGTTAGGATGCTTACCCATTGTTCTTCAGGTACGTTTTCGAATAATGGATGTTCTACGAAATGATGTACCATCCATTCATTTAAATCTTGTACGTCGGTTATTGTATATACGATACCCTTTAAATAAGATTTATTTTTAATTATCATCATCATCATCATCATCATCATCATCATCATCATCATTATTATTATTATTATTATTATTATTATTATTATTATTATTATTATTATTATTATTATAAAAATATCTTATATAATGAGATATGATAAATACTTACACCTTCCGCAAGCACGTACGCATATTCAGCCAGAAGGGTTTTGCTTATTATCCTCCATTTATATTTGGATTTTTTAAAGTGTGGGTCTGGATATAGAAAAAACATCTTCTTTAGCTACAAATCGTAAGAATTGAAGTTTATTATTACTTCTTTTGATAGATAAAGAAACTTGATTTATTTCATTATCATACCTGTCCTTTGAAAAAATAGTTGGGTAAATGTTTCATAGCATTAGTCCTTAAGCAAGCTATGTTCTCATATTGTCCTGGGTTTTGAGATCGTAACGCTTCTATACGATCTTTTACATAATCTAATACTTTGACTCTGATTTCCAGACCGAGTATTAAATTATTAGGGAACATTGGCGATAAAGTAACTATTTTACAAATATATTAATTTGTTTTCTTCGACGGTGAATTTGTAATTAATTAATTGTTTAAGTCCCAGGATTCTTTAGAAAAATTGTATTGACAAACATCTGATAATAACTGCACATTGCTTGGGACTCAAACGATTATATATTATTATATAAAACGTAGAATAAAACTTACCGAGCAGTCCTCCATAACCGCAACCAATATCGGCGAACTCTACACACTTTTGAGGAGTATCCTCTGTATTCTCATTATCATTATCTTTAGAAAAATATTTAGGATAATAAGGACTCCAATCCATTAACTCTGGTTTTAAAGGGCTGTTGTATACATATAAACAAATAATTATTTTAAATGACTAATAATTAAACATAATTGATAATTAACAAAATTAATTCCTTACTATTCTAAGCAATGATCCGCAATAGGATTGGAGTGAGCACGTTGTCTATAATGTTTTTTTTGTGGTAATGAAACTGACTTTGACATACTGATACGTATGTATTAATTTTACAGTTTACCACGATTAAATCCTTCTTACGAGAGAGTAAAAAGAAAAAAAAAACAAATATTATAATAAAGAAATAATATATTCCAACAATAACAAAGTAATATTCTCTTTCATTGACAAATTCGCATAACAGTTTTTATGCATTATGAAAAGAATAATACACGTGGTTTGTAGCCGAAATAAACTAGGAAGTAAAAATCAGCTGATAGTAACGCGCGAAATGCCCTCTGGTGAATGACGCTTCTGTTGGTTTTACTGCACGAACAGAAGTTCGAGTGAGAGAGCGTGCCAGTTTGTCGTGAATACATTGTAAACGTTTAGTTTTGTTTTTTCATTAGTGCGCGCCAAATGTGATATTGTTTGGATAAAAGGAACAGAGGAATGTTTGTGTAATGTTCATTAAAGCGTTCATAACTGTCGAGAGGAAAGAATTATAATCGGTGTCTTGTTTTCAGGTGAGGTTAGAATTTGTTAATAGCAAGCAAGAACCAACAAAAAAAAAATACATCCTGCGTGGTAGGGACGTACACCCAACTCTCGATATAGATATACAGACAGTTTGATCGATAATGTTAGATTGTAAGGATTCTCTCATTCATTCTTAATTCAAATATTTGAAATAATATATATATTTTTTTGGTTCAATATATCAAAGTATTCAAATGATCAGTTGAATGTCGGGTTATCAGATTATTTATTCATTTTCCTTTGTCTTCTTACTCCAAAGAAACTTTCACCAAACTCATTATTCCTAGAAATTACTTAGAATCCCTTTCTTACCGACCGCTTTTTACAGAACAATCATTTTTCAAGGTTCTTTGTCATATTTGCGCATTTTTGTACATTCTCCTTAATTATGATTTCAAAAATGTCTTTGAGTTATCATAATATCGTTTTTATTATAATAAAATAATTAGTGTATGAAAAAAAAAAAATATATATATATATATATATAATTATAATAATTTGGGGAAGGACATTGTATATTTAAGATAGATGCATTTTTTATGCAATTTATCTTTTTTTTTTTATGCAGCAAATATTCAACAATAAAGTATATATTTTATTTTTTAATTATATGCACATATTATATATAGATAATTTTTGAAAATTTCATTATTCGTAATTCACCAATGAAATGCAACTTTTAAAAACTTATTCTGTATGGACGAGACAACTTTTTTTTTCTTATGACGAAATTATTATTATTATTATCAATAATAATAATTATCATCGACTACTTATAAAAAGGAACACTTGTTTTTTATCTTTAACTTTTAATATCTTTTATTTCAAAAAAATATTTTAAAAATTAATTATATTAGGAATGAGAGCACACCAATCGAATCGCGAATTATTAACGAATGAACGAGCGCCTTTAGAAAAATATTTCACTCCGATTGGTTCGTTTAAAATTGTGTTCGTTTTATTCGTTCTTTTATAAAAAGAAATAAATATTAATCATCTCCCATGTATTGCACGATGATGTCAATCAAAATTTCGTATCGTTATAAGAAAGGTTCTTCACTTGTTTTTAGTTTAAAAATCTACTAATTGAGATTAATCAAATATAACAGGTGAGTATTTTGTATTTATCAAACATTTTGACATACTTACGTTATTTTCTATCGTTTAATTGTATTTAGAAATTTAAATATATTTAAATATCAATGGGTGATTAAAATTTGTTTAGTTATTGTTTTTCAAATCTTGATGCATCAATAAATAAGCATAAGTTTTTATAATTTCAAATCAAAAGATCATGTCATTTATAAATTGTTTTATAGTATTTTACATATATCCATACACATACACGGATGCACACATAGGCGTGCGCAATTAGAAATTTACGAGAATTTAGCATAGAAAAAAGATAAAGAAAAAAGAATATTTCTGAAATAATATTGTATATATTAAAAAAAAAAAAAAAAATATCTTTCCAAGATCTCTCACATAAGAATGTCCTTGTATAGAAATAACATTGGCACACGTGTTTCTTATCTTGAATCAACTGCCATTATTTGGACCAGTTGATTGTGGCTTTGTAAAAGATTCCTTTAACTTGAATTAATATTGATTTATGCTAATTTATATAATATAGTTCTCAGGGTAATCTAACACGAGTTTGATATTATATCTTTTGTTATTATCAATCGATAATATAATATCGATAATTATTTCTTTATCGAAGTAGGTATACTTGCATTTATACATACACTTGTACGTATGTAGACAACTATTAAAAATTTTTCTATCGTTATATTATATTTATGTATGTGTATCGTTTTAGATAACAATAACAATCTATCCTTAATTTTAATTTTTTATTTTCAGTAATAATAATAATAATAATAATAATAATAATAATAGTTATAGATTATAAATATTAATTAAAATAATATTAATAAATAATAGTAATAATAATAATTATAATAATTATTATATTTTATTTTATTATAATAATTATTATAATTCTGTTTTCAATTTATGTATTTATTTATTTTATGTTATATTTGATTGAATTTTTTCAAAATGGCTACCTGTCCGATAAAGAATCAATTCACTTTTTCTTATTACAATAATAATATTAACAATGAATTATTAATTATTATTATAATGTATTGTTTATGTTATCAATTCTGTTTTCACTTTAGATATTTATTTATTTTATATTTTATTTGGCATATTTTTTCCAAAATGGTCATCTGTCCATTTTTCGCAGTTTTTCTTTTCGTTGCACTATTGTTATAATAAAATAAAAATGAATAGTAGAAACAATATATAGGAAGCAACTTATGATAATAATGATAAATGCATTTTGAAATATTTTACCAAGTTAAGATAGGGTATCTTCTCAAGTATCGTACTTTAGTATCGGCTCATTTATCGGAAGTATCTTCCGTAACGTGACAGGAATCGGTTATACTTTCTTACAATCTTATTTTTTTTATTTTCTTTTGATTTCGTATTATTATTCTCGTTAATTTAAGTAAATCAAATGTTTAGATTCGATATAAATAAACAATGTTCTATTAAATTTGACTGGTATTTCCTTTAGAAATACAATTATATCGTTTTATGAATGATTTCTTAATTCGTGGAAATCACATGTGAAAGAAGATAACAATATTCTTTCGGCTAATGTCGTAGATTAGAGTAAACAACGTGGCTGGTGACTTTACAAAGTTATCGTTCGAATTATAATACGAATCATCGATGTGAGAGTGGATTGTTATAAAGAAAAAAAAAAACATATAATTACGACAACAACAAATATAATAATAATGATAATAATAAGAAGAAACACAATGTTTTTCTTAAGTACATTGAGTTTACTTATAGAAAGTTGATCAAACATACTAACCTTCAGTTGAGTACATTTATTCAGTCGTGATTAGATCGTTCGATGATCGTTATGGATTAAATCAAACAAATTGTTTCTTTAAAATAAAATAAATATCACATATTCATTGTTGGAGGGATACATGACAAAATAATACTGCTCACGTTAGATATCATTTTCTTTTTTTTTTCTTTTTTTAAACGAACGTGAAAATAACTTTTATGGGAGTAAACGTTCGATATACGCGCTCGAGTAATGAATAATTAAATCGATTATGTTTAAATGCTTAGTGTCTTCGAAGAAGAATGTATTCAATGTGTAATTTTGATTCGAGTATTTTAAACAATATTTACATTTACATTTTTTTTCTTTACTAAAAACAAAAACTTTAAGAGGAATTTTCTTCATTAACACAAGTGTTACAACATTACGCAATTATATTTTGGTTCTTATTTTTCTTAGTTTTCGTTTTGTTATAATAATGAAGTTAAATAGTGTGAAAGAGAGGATTATATATGAAATTATTTAATTAATTGTTTAACTTCGATTAAAATAAATCAATATTTTTTTTTGGTATAACATTTGTTGTGATCTCAAATCGTCGACAAGAATATGTGTTAATGAAAGTTCTCAGAATTAAAATATAGATTGAAAAGAATTTCAACGGGGAATTCTTATAAATCATTCACGCGCGTGTTTTTATTTTTTTGTTTGTGTTTTTATTTTCACCAAAAATTAATTCAATAAATTTAAATTCGATCGCCGAACTCTATGATACTGAATGATTTGTGACTCTTGAAGATATTTCGAATATTTTTTTTGCATATGCATGATTCATCGTTCACGGAAGAAAAGTAAAAAAAAAAAGAAAAAAAAAAAAGAAATTATCTCGAAGAATATATTGAGTAATATTAAAAAAAAAAAGATTATCAAAGAAAAAAAAGAATAATATTCTAGATGAACTTATGTGTTTCGAATAATATATTTGAAAAAGAAATGGATTATTATTAAAAAAAAAAAATAATTAAAAGAAAACTGTTAATTAATATTTAATTATTATTATATATATATGCATATTATATATATTATTAAATAAAATGGCAAGAAAAATGTCGTGGGAATCTGATGAAAAAATTTATTTGTTAAAATCAAATAAACAAAATACGTGTTTACATTACAATACAACGAACACTAGTCGTATTTATGGCTCACATTCGTCAAGTCCAAATATTTTCCAATCTTTTTGGAACAGAAGCAAACAGGTACATTTGCTTAATATACATATACATTTTTATTGGGTTAGAGTCAAAAGTTTGTTCATATTTTTCTAATAAATTATTTTACACATATTTTATCATAATTATTGATAGTATCAATCAGATTTGTTAATTATAGAGTAATTAATTTATTCAATCAAAAGTTATAACATCTTGAAAAATGAATGAATTTGAAATGAATGAAATTTAGTTGACAAAAATAGAAAGAATGTGATTTAAGTTAGTAAATAAATTTCTGACATTTATAAACATGATGCAATATCAATTCATCTGGTATAAAACTGGTTTAAACGTTTTCAATCTGGAAATGTTGATGTCAAAGATGTATTATGCTTTGATCAACTGAATGGTCAATAAAATTATGAAAAAAATTGAGTAACACATTGGTATATTACCAATCATGATATAAATTCAAAATTATACATCGTTTAAGAAACATTTTTGAAAACTATTCGAAGATTTGATACAAAATATAAAAAATAAATGTTATATTCCAATTTGAACAAAACTATTGACTCAACCCAATATTTTATGGGGTTGTTCGAAAAGTAATTTGATTTTTCACCAAAAAATTATGTTAGTCGTGTTAAACGATATTTAATTTTCCTCTAAATCTTCAAATCATTTTACATTTTAAGAACAGACGTCATTTAGAAAATCAGTATTGTTTTTTGAAATTTCAATTTGAAAGATGCACCATTTCTTCTTCATCTAGTTGAAGAAGATAAGAACAAAATAAAAGCAATGGTGTATGCTTTCTTTGTTGTATGACAATGTAAAAAATAGTAAATAGTCGAATTTTTTAAATTCAACAAATCACGACGATCAAAAACAAAAAAAATGAAATTACTTCTCGAACAAACTAACGTAATTATTAATAAGAATATTTATTTCAATAAACGTTTTTATACGTTTCTCTTGTGTGTACCCTTTTTAAATAGAATTTATCTCATTTTTTTCAATTCCGTGTTTTTCCGTTTAATAATGATTCATTGTTATACTTTGTTACGAGATAATATGAGATAAATTATTGTTGCAGTTGAAGAAATGAGTTATTTTTTAAAATATTTTGTCTTTATCGTTTCACGTCCCATGAATATGCAATATACGAGTATTCGAGTCTCTTCGTTAAAGGGGGTAATAAAAATTATAAAATATACAATAAAAAAAACATATTTCATATAAATAACGTAAGATATATTTTTTTCATTTTTACGAATTCTGCAAGAAAAAGAAAAAGAAAAAATTTTTATTTTTATTTTTGTAATATCTTACGATAAAATATTGCAACGTATGTAATTGCATTCAATTTTTCATGTGTGCGGATGCAGAACCTTGAACTTCACTATAAATAATCATGAATGTTTTATTATCGTTTATTATCGGTGCATTGGCTTTTGTGCATTCACAGATCATAAATATATTATTTATTTTTTTGTTATTAATAGAAATTGAAATTATTTTTCATGTAAATTTACACTCATGCGTATATGCATTTGTGAATTATTTTTAAACTTTTATTTGTAAGTTTGTAGTAAGTAGTTCAGTAAGAGTGTTAAAAATAAATCGTTAAAACTCTTCCGTAACTGTTATTTCTCAATAGGACAAATTAATTCCTCGTTGATCGGTTTGACCAATGCTTTAATTGATCAAAGTGACTCTTCTGCTATCGTAAGAGCGCATCGTATTGCAAGATTTTTCATTCTTTGAGGGAGAAACAAGAATGACGCATCTTCTTAAAGATATTTTTATTACTTGGCTTGGTTAATAAGTTAGAGACATCGGAATTTTTAATATAAAAAATACCACTATTTTAATATTAATTTAATCTTATTAATTTAAACTAATTTAAATTTAATATTAAATTTAAATTAATTTAATAAAAATTTAATCATGTTAGATGTCAAATACTTATAAATATTTTAATATATAAAATATCTTAGAAAATTTCTATTCAATTTAAATATCAAATTATAAACATCTTTTTTTAAAATTTATTATTTTATTTATTAAATTTAGATCTAAAATATTTAATAAAACGTAATTAAAATAAACAACAAAAATATTTATTTAAATAATATAATTATATATTATTATAATATATTTATATATAAATTTTATAATATTTAATATATTTATATTTATATATAACTATATATTATTATAATAATTATTTATTTAAATATAAATTAATAAAAAATTCCGACATTATTCATTTATTTATCAAGCAAATATATTTAATGTTATAAAAATATTTTCTACACCGTTATACTTCGAATAAAATTATTATTATTACTTAATCGATTTTCCAATTAATTAATGAAAATTATTCAATCTTTTTTTTTTTTCTTTACACATATAATAATTGTCTTACCTCGTTATGAATAAAATCGTGTAATCAATTACGTGAATTTACAATAAGAGTTGCAAATAAACGTTACAAAAGCGAGATCGTGTTTGCGGTGAATTATAAATTATACGATGAAATCATCTTTACCTAGTCCATGTGTACACAAACACATACATACACAGATATAAAAAACCACATACACATAAACGACTTATGAGTACAATTAGCAAGTTACGATGCTTATTATTTGAACGTTTATCGAGATCGCAAAGTACCGACATTTTTTATTTAACTAACAACTTATCAACTTTTACATTTACAAATACATTCGGAGACTTCTAATTAGGTCTCGTTTTTTCAATATTTATAAAAACATTAATGACAATTCTAATTTTTTAAATGGGTCGTTCTTTTATCCATTTATTTAAATTATTGATTAGTATTAATAAGAAATATTTTTACAAACGTAACTATATCATTAAAAAATTATTTTGTCAAGCAAGTGTTTTTGCATAAGCAACAATTTTAATTGTTCTTTGCATTACGTGTCGAAAAATTTGCGGTGCAATTAAAAATGAAGATATTGCTGATCGGTTCAACATTTATCTATGAAAAAAGAAAAAACACACACACACACGTGTTGGTAATTATAACAGTGTACTGATGTAAGTGAAAAAAGAAAAAAAGAAGAAGAATTAATTGTCTGATCTATTTAATAATAAAAAATAAATTCTATAAATGAAATTAATTCAATTTTTGATTCCACTTTTCATAATCACCTGGCACACGTGTGTAAGATGCATTTTGAAAAGAACACAATAATAATAATAATAATCATAATAAATTATTATGAAATACTTAGAATTGATGACGTAAGTTAATTCAAATATTAAAATGGATTACTTTTATTGTCATTAGCTAACATTAGCTAGACAATTTTATTTGTCGGCAAAATGTAGATATTGTAAGTTTAATTAAGAAGATTTAAAATCTATTGTTGTTAGATATTAATACGGGCTCATGGTACTTTGTAGTTAAATGCACGGCACTGTTGGATTGTAATGCGCGCTATTACGCACGTAAAAGACGATTCTTATTCGCTGTGTACACGACTTTAGAGATCCCACAGCGATATATAAATGCCGTACGTTATGTTACGCGATGTTCTTAAGGTATTTGCCGGCGTTACCGTCCGCACCGTGTTTAAGAAATCTACCATGTGATTCGTAATTTTCCTTTTATTTTGTATCATTCGCGAGTAAAACTAATTCAAACAAAAAAAAAAAAATAAAATCTACAAAATTCAATATTAATAATTGCAAAAAAAAAAAAAAGATAATAAGTGAACAAGGAAACAAAAATTAATAATTATTATTACATTGCAACTTTGTTTAAAAAAAAAAAGAAAGAAAATACACACGAGGATATATTGAAGAAATCAATTTGGAAAAGATGCTCAGGTTCACCACTTTGTCGAGGGTCCGTTTTTCACGGTATCAATTTAATTAATTAGTATTTTTATTATATTTTTGTTTTGTTGTTGTTGTTTTTTTTAATTCTTTATCTTTATTAGTATAAAAAAAATAGATTATAATGATTTGTCATACTAATATAATCAATTTTTTTTTACTGATTTATATCACACGTGTTTAGATGTTTATGTATTAATTGCATATAATTACATAGATGTTTATGATGATATTTTTATTTGAAATTAATGTTGTTTTTTCTATTTTTTTTTTTTTTTTTGAATAATTAATTATACTATCGTACAGAGATCTTGAGATAAATATAATCTCTAATATTAAGATAAATATAATACACATGCACGGTTAGTATTAACATATACATATACAAATTAGTTGCTTGATCGATGCTAACATTTATGAACTAACGCATAATACGCTTTGATTCGCATATATGATGATCTATGAAAGGCAAAATACGAAACAATCAAAAAGAAGTTCATTGTTCGTCATTGGTATAATAGTATGTGTATGTTTTATTTACGTTCATGGGATCATGGTTCATACATATATATGTGACAATATAACGAAAAGATATGATTGATTATATATATACATATTCACATACATATCTCTCTTCAGAGAAGGTTTTCTATTATTCGAAGACATCAAAAGAAAAAAGAGAGATATATATATCGAAGAAGGAAGCTTACAATGTCATCTATGTGTCTTCATCTGTCAATTCTTGAGAAAATGAGAAGAAGATAAATTAAAAAAGAAAGAGAGAGATAGAGTGACATTTTTTAGAACATTAGATAAAATTAATACTCGCACTCTTATGGTTGATAATTAAAAGACTTTAAATTGGATTAAAAACTAAACAATAAAGGGAGAGAGGGTGAGATTAAAGTAATAAAGATAGCATTTGATATCTTACTACTACTTGGTAATGAACGATTTAGAAAAGAACAATAACGTAACAATGAGTGATGTCAAGGAGGAAAAAGAGAAGATTAGGGAAAATCAAGTGATGGAGGATGATGGGAAAATAGGGTCGAAGTTTATAGACAAGTTTTCTGATAAATTAGACAATGAGAATGATAATGAGTCGATATCTAAGATAAACGAATGTAATAGATCAATGTTAAGTGAATCAAAAGAAGAATCAACAACTAAATACAGGGATGTGTTATCGGGTACTAGTGTAAATCCTACGAGAAGGTCTAGCATAGCTAGCGCAGCCATTTGTTCAAGTTTGGCACCGAGTTTGGCTAGTGCTTTTCCAGGTGTGCCGAGTAATTTATTACCAAAGGTTCGAGAAAGCAATTCATTTGATTTAAAAAGAAGTGCTACTCTCTCTAATTTGTCATTCGTCAATGATACTACATTAGAAGTTAACGATAAGGAAAAGGAAGAAAAGGAAGATGATAGGATTAACAAGGAAAGAGATCGGAATGATGATGGAAATGATGGTAAACGTAAATCAAAATTATCCTTCCTTCATCTTCATATACCCGAAAGCGCTGCTACCACTGCTGCTGTTGCTGCTGCTGCTGGTGCTCGCTGGGATCTTGAACTTGGTTACCATCATCATCACCACTATCATCATCATCACGTATTTCCACATATTCACGTACCCGTGATTACGTTCACTGCCCCATCGACCGATGGAACAGGTCGAAAGTTCAACTTCGGCATACGAAAACACTCACAGACGGTTAGTCAGTAGTGTCATTTTAGTTGACGAGAAAGATCTTCGAGAGCACGATACCCGTTTTTTTTTTATTTCTTTTTATTCCCCCTATTATTTTGCTATTTTATTCTATTTTAATCTTTTTTTTTTTTTCGTAACTGTATATATTCATCATTTTCTCATTTATATTTTTTTGTTTGTCTCTTCTTTTTACCCCGGCATGTTCGTTTCGTAGTTATTGTTTTAAAACGATTTTGGATAAAACGATTTTTTCTTCATCCCTTAACGGTTTGTTTTATTATTATTATTTTATACCTTGTTAATAATTCTGTTAAAAAAACAAAAAGATTCGCGTAAAGTTTTACTGATTGTGAGTGAGAACGTTTGAACATTTTATTCTTGGACACTGGTCTGTTAGTTTGTTCTTTTTCCATCCTACTTTCATATTTAATATTTTTATTTGATCAATTTGTTATTTGTTTCATTTTATTTGTTCAGTATTTATTTTATTAATTAATTATAAATATTTTGTATCTAAAATATTGTTTATCGTGCATTATACTAATATTTTATTTTAAATGCTGATCATTGATTTAAAAATGTTGAAAAATATTGACCCGATAAATATCTTATTGTAAATCTTAATTTATCATTGTTTGTTTAATTTTATATTTCATTTTTTTTCTCACTAATTTTAATTTAACTTTTTTATATAACCTTAGATAGAAATGATAATGCCAGTACTAATATTTCCATTTAGAAGTAAAGTCGAATCGTGCAAATAAATTCAATCACGTTTGTTTCGTATTGTTTCGCGAACGCATTTCACCCATTTTTTTTTCTTTCTCTTTTTATTTATTAATTAATTTATTTATCTTTTTTTATTTTGTTATAATTTAGGTGCAAATTTCGTTACGTCCTTCCTTCTAATTTAAAAAAAATTGGAAGATGGTTATACCTGTGAATCGTTTTTGTCGGTCTCAGATTTTCCTGTTTTTTGTGAGATGAAGAAAAATTGTAAAAAAAAAAAAAAAAAAAAAAAATAGAAGAAAACTCTAGACGCAAAATTTGGTGGTAGTGTCATATAATAAAACACACATCTCTTCCTCGTCTTTCATAAGAACGAACGAAGGAACGGACGCACGAATTGTTGAATGGTGGTCGAGAGATTATAGGAGCTAACGTTTGATGATTGCCGTTCACGTAACAAGAAATGATACTGTCCAGTGTGAAAAACATTTTTTGACCGCTTTTAAATACGAACCAACAGAAAAATATTCATTTTGTTTGTTTGTTTTTTATTTTTCTTTCTTTTTTTTTTTTAACAAAAACCTATTTTACAAAAAAAACTACATTAAATTTTATTAACGATGATGTCGTCAATACAATCATATCTTTGTCATTCAGTGAGTATGTCGGTGAGTCTAATTTAAATTATACTACTTTGTTCAATTCCGATCGATTTGATTGTCAAAAATCATAGTTATGTAAAAAAAAAAAATTAATAAAATACACATACACACAGAAACACAATAAACTGCATTTAACCACAACGTATTTTTTTTTGGAGAGGGGGAATTTAATATAAATCAATGTAAATAACACAAGAAAGAACATTGATTTATTTTATATTAAATCGTGAATAAATAATCGTCAATAATAATAATAAATACCTAGCATACGATTTGTTAGTACTGAACCATTTTCGTATAATATGCGCCAAGTTTCTAACAATGTGCGTGTAACAGTGTGCATGTGCAGCAATTGAACATGATTCTTCTTTTTTTTTTTTAAATATCAAAAATTCATATTACATGTAATTTCAATATGAAAATACTGGAAATGTTGTAAAAATAAATATTATTATTTTTCGTACGAAAAAAAAAAAAAATAAGGGTGAATGATTCAAATTGTGTGCTTTAAATTAATATTTGCTTGCAAATATACATATGCTTGATGATTGTATAAATAAGATTTTGTTTTTCTTGACTACTATTTTTATAAGTAAGTAATAATCATTGAGAAAGGCGTTTGATTAGTTTAGAAAAATTAAAACAAAAAATATAAATGATTTTAAATGCAGCAAGAAGAAATAAAAATTGAAATGATGAAAGTTGCTTGAACTTTGTGTATTAGCAACTAAAATAATACATTGATTATCTTATATTATCTAAATAACCAAAGAGCAATAGAGTTGTTAACATAATATTATCAAACTTTTTACAGACTTTGCATCGGACTGACTCGATGGTATCGCTTTGTTATCGGACGCTTGCCAGCTTCATCGCGGATGACAATCTCGATGGTTTGCAAAGTTTTCTTGAAAATAGAAGAACACAGGTTGATGACCGAGATGAGGTAAAGAAAAAGTTCTTGTCAACCTTGCATTAGGTTGATCAATAAAGTTTAATGCAATTTTTTCTACCAATAAATAAATAACATACAGTTAATCTAATTTATTCCTTACAGAAAGAAATTATTCTTTTTTATGAATCAACAATTTGCATCTCTCCTATTTTCGCAAATGCAGAATTGTAAAATGCGTTTTTTTTCTTCTTCTTCTTATTATTATTTTTGTTTATCCATAGAACGGTAGCACAGCACTCATCTTTGCAGCAGCAAAAGGAAAGATCCAATTTCTTCGAGAACTCATCAATTATGGTGCGGACGTTAATACAGAAGACGCGGTAATTGTTTATTTATACTTTGACGTCCATCAAATATTTCACTTTTATTTGATTATGAATTTTCTTATCTTCTAGGACAATTGGACGGCATTACTTTGCGCAGCTAAGGAGGGTTATACCGAGATCTGTTCGGAATTATTGGATCATGGTGCCAATTTGGAACATCGTGACATGGTAAAGAAAATTTGTCTAAAATTAAACGAGAAAATAATGTTTGTGTATAATAAGAAATTCAACAAGCAAAAATAAATGTATTTAATTTTAGGGTGGATGGACACCACTTATGTGGGCAACTTATAAAGGTAAATCGGATACGGTGAAGTTATTAATAACACGTGGTGCTGATGTCAATGCTCATGGAAACTTTCACATATCCTCTTTACTATGGGCAGCTGGTAGAGGATATGCCGAAATAGTTAAAGATTTAATTAATCATGGTGCTAAGGTCAACGGCGGTGATAAAGTAAATTGTCCAAATTAAATAGAAAAAAAAAACATTGAAAATTTTTAAGAAATTAATTTACTAAATTTTGTGTATTTTTGTAAATTTATTTGTTAGTATGGTACTACGGCTTTAGTATGGGGTTCTAGAAAAGGAAATGTGGAGATAGTTGACACATTGTTAAAAGCTGGTGCCAATGTCGATACAGCTGGCATGGTAAGAAATTTTAAATTCGTTTGTATTTATAATAATAGGAAAAAAGTAAGAAAAATATAGGTTTTCTTTAAGATAAATGACCGGTACGAAAATCTGCTACGTTATAGTATTCATGGACAGCTCTTCTTGTGGCGACACTTGGTAATCATATAGACGTAGTTCTATTACTTTTGGAACATAAACCGAATGTAAATGCTCTTGACAAAGATGGATGTACGGCCTTGGCAATAGCTTGTCGAGAGGGTCATCACGAAATAGCTAATGCGCTTTTAAATGCTGGAGCTTATGTCAATATTCAAGATAGATCTGGTGATACTAATTTGATACATGCTGTTAAGGGTGGTCACAGAGGTGTCGTTGAATCACTTCTTAAAAAGTATGCTGATGTTGATGTTCCTGGCAAGGTATAGTAATTAAAAAATATAATAAAAATCAAAATAAATCCTTTTGTTAGTAACTTTAGCGTATTAAACATAAAAGATATTATTAATGTTTTAGGATAGAAAGACTGCTACTTATATAGCTGCAGAAAAGGGTAATATAGCGATACTAAGATTATTACTAAGCGCTAATCCAGATCTAGAAATTGCAACAAAAGACGGTGATACGCCATTACTGCGAGCAGTAAGATCGCGGTACCCCGAAATAGTACAATTATTATTAGACAAGAAAGCTAAAGTTTCCGCAACCGATAAAAAAGGGGATACTGCGTTACACATTGCTATGCGTGCAAGATCTAAAGGCATAGTTGAAATATTACTGAGGAATCCAAAAAATAGTCAATTGTTGTATCAGCCGAATCGTCAAGGAGAAACACCATATAATATAGATATTAATCATCCTAAGACTATCCTAGGACAAGTATTTGGTGCTCGTACGTTAATTAATTGTATTTATATATATATTATTTGTTTTTATAAATATGACAAATAATTGATTTATTACAGGTCGACTTAACACTAACGAGGATAATGAAAATATGCTAGGATATGATTTATACAGTAGTGCGTTAGCAGATATACTGAGTGAACCTTCACTTTCAACACCGATAACTGTTGGTCTTTATGCCAAATGGGGTTCCGGGAAATCATTTTTATTAAATAAATTGAGAGGTAGATATAACGCTCCGTCTATCTAAATGTGTATAAGTTTTTATGTCTATTTAATATTAATATTTTTCTTTCAGAGGAAATGAAAAATTTTACACGTCAGTGGATCGACCCAGTATTCCAATTTTCTACTTTATTGTTCATAGTAGTTACTCACGTGGCATTATTAGTTGGTGTTACAACTGGTCTTCTTGTACAATCGTGGATTATTGGTCTTGTGTGTGGGATTAGTCTTATTTTTACTGTTTATCTTTTCTTGGTGCTCGTTTGGTATGCCAATGATAGGTAATTTATTACAAACAATATAAAATTGTAATTATAATGATCTAATCATTTTGTTTATACTATTTTATTATTATCGTCATTGTAGATATGATTTGGATTGGCCAACGAATTTTACAATAGCACTTACAACAAAATTAAATTCGTTGAAGCTACTATTGCAAATAATATTTTGTCATCCACCTGGCAGAAGTGTTCACGACGATATTACTGTACAACCCATTAAATTTTACTTCACTGATCAAACTAGAGTCGGTACAACGGCTGCTGGTGAGAATGCGGTTGTGCAAATGGTTGGATCTCTTTACGATTCGATAGAAAATGATTTTGGTTCTTTGACTACGAGATTATACCGAGCTTTTAGACCTAAATTCGATAAATCTACCTCTACTTGGAGATGGAGGCATCTTTGTTGTTTACCATACGTTGTTATATTTGAATTCTGCTTCTGTAGTTTACTTATTGGTATATCAGTACTTACAGTCTACCTCATAGATATATCTAGTGATGTGTAAGTATTTAATATAATATTAGAGTTTTTATTTATAATATATTAATAATTAAATTTATTATTATTATTATTATTATTACTATTATTATATTACTGTTATTGTAGACAAACTATTGAGAAGTTTACAGCGCACATCATTCTGATAACTGTTGGCTTAGTATTAACTATCAGTATTATAGCAAATTTATATACATGGAGTCGGACATTAAAAGCGCTTGTGTTCTCGCAGAGAAGACATCTACAACATAGTATATCCAAATTAGAAACAATAAAAAGTGAAGGTTTTATACAAACATTAAGAAGTGAAGTTAATCTAATGACTGAAATGGTATGCGTATACGCAAGCATATAATTTATATACAATGAATTTATTTTATTTTCTAATAATTCATATATTTTTAAAATTAAAAATAGGTAAAATGCTTAGATAGCTTCATGTCTCAACAAAGTAGGCTAGTTTTAATAGTAGATGGCCTAGATAGTTGTGAACAAGATAAAGTTCTACTTGTTCTAGATGCTATACAGGCTCTGTTTAGCGATAATGGATACCCATTTGTGGTGATCTTAGCCATTGATCCACATATTATTTCTAAGGTGAGAATTTTTTAAAATTTCTTATATTATTATGCAAAGATTTATTTATATCTATTTTATTTTAATGTTTCATTTTTAAAGGCAGTCGAAGTAAACAGTAGAAGATTATTTACCGAGTCCAATATCGGTGGGCATGATTATTTAAGAAATATGGTTCATCTTCCATTTTATTTACAAAACAGCGGGTTACGTAAAGTTAATGTTGCACAAGAAACAGCACAGTATAATAAAAAACCAACTTGGACGGAAGCTGAGGAGAGTGTTAGTTATGCTACTTCCAGTACAATACATCACTCTGTTTCCAGTAGAAGATTAAGTACTGAATCTGCTGTTATGAATAGCAATGAAAAATTAAAACCACAGAGTAGGAAGGGCAACAGAAAATTACGACTGAGCGAATCTATTGCTAGCAGTATTGGTAGTAATCTAAATCGATTAGGTGGCGCACAAGATCTTAATAAAATGCTTCTCACTGATGATTACTTCAGCGATGTGAATCCACGCAGTATGAGAAGATTAATGAACGTTGTTTATGTCACTGGGAGGTTATTGAAAGCATTCCAGATTGATTTTAATTGGTATCATCTAGCCAGTTGGATCAACATTACAGAGCAATGGCCTTTTAGAACATCTTGGTTAATATTACATTATGATTCGTTTGAAAAGTCTTTGGACGATTCCATGTCTTTAAAATGTCTTTATGATAAGTATGTGAAAACTATAAAACAGTTTACGATATTTACATTTCTTTTATATATTCATTAAAATTTATAATTTTGTTTTTAGAGTGCGTCCACAAATACCAGTGCTAAAGGATGTTCAACCACTTCTTGAGATGGACAGAGATGAACGCAAGCTAGACGTTTTTCTATCTTTCCACAGGTCTAGTTTACACATTAGCGACATGAAAATATTTTTACCATTTACTATCAATCTTGATCCTTATATAAAGAAGAAAATAAAAGAAGAACAGCAAGGATTTAATGAAGAGATCAATGCGTCGCATTCCAAACAAGTCACACCGTGGAATCAACAAAGCAATATTTACAATCAAAGCAATACAAACAAATCTGTAGCTTCTAATCGTAGTAGTAAACTTAACAAAGCATCAAGCTTACAGGGACAACAGTATATTACACCTGGACCACCGTGGGCTTTTCAACCAAATTACAATTGGCCTGTTTCACCTTGGCCACATATTCCACCTGCTGAACCTGCGCCAGTATCACTTTCTGCAACCACTACGTTACCAGTATGTTTTTATCTGATTGAAATGCACACAATTATTTCTTTTCGTAAATTTTATATTTTCAAATTAAAAATGTTTTGCTTCTTTTGTCTTTTCACACAGCCGGAAATTCTTGAAATGAAATTGTCCACTTTGAATGTGAGTGATGTCTGCGATCTTCTTGACCGAATCGAAGGTTTTAATATTAATCATTCAACCCAATATAAGATTTTATTGAGGGATAATAATATTAATGGAAGAGTTTTGCTTCATTGTGATTTGCAAGAATTAAAAAAGGTATGAATCGTTGCATACTTTGCATACAAATTAATATACAATTCTTTAAATAGTAGTGCAACTAAAATAAAATATTTTATTAGGTTATGAAAATGACTTTTGGCGATTGGGAATTATTTCGTATGATAATCATATCGCTCAGAGAATTGGAACTAACATCATTCAGCAGTCAAGATGAAACTTCACGAAGTGTACGATTTACTGTAGGACTTGAGCCCATTGCACGGAAAGGTAAATATAATATTTCATCCTATGAATCATTTTATTATAGATCTAATAATTTAATATTTATACAATTATTTTTTATTGTAGAAAACACTGTACAAACTAATAATTCCGTTCGCGTACCTGCTCATACTGAAAAAGAAAAGGGAACATCCAGAACAGATGCACCACCTCGACGAGATCAAGTTAAACAATCAATTATGGAAAAACAGGTAAAGAAATTATTTACATATCCTTAAAAATACATTTGAAACAAAAAAAAATCAACTAATATATCACTTTATAATATTGTCCATTACATTTGTATCTTGGCTTTAGTATCAGGTGAGATTGTAATATTAATATTTATATTCTTATTTATGAAATATTTTAATTTACAATTTAGATGTTTTGTTTACTTAAAATTATTAAAGAAAATTTATATACATTTTGAAAAAGCAAAGATACCAAATATTGGTTTACTACAGGTAACTTTGGAAGAACAAATGATATGTGGCGCTTTACAAACCTTGAATGAAGAAGCATGCGAAGATGTATTGGATCTCCCAAATCCAGAAACGACATCAACAGACTCACTTTCAGGTGAGCCCTCTACTCTACCACTTTCACTGCCCCTGGTTGTAATTGAAGAGCCACAGCAACCTTGCTGATACTGCGATACTGTCAGTAATTATAATGGAAACTTATAGTTCCATGAAAGATGCAAATAAACGCATATCCGTAAACGTATATGCGCTCCATATTGTTAATGTTGTAATTGTTAATTAAACTATAATAGAATTTAGTTTTGGGTCTTAATTTTTGCTTTTTCTTTTGCTATTTTATTTTGACGAAATATATAATAACGTGACAGTATAGCAGATCTTAATTTTGTGCGATAGATACAAAGAGACAATAAACATGTAATCTATATTAAATATTTACTTTAAAACGAAAAAATAGATTTATATTTAGGAAAATGTTGAATGAATTAAAAAAATTATTTGGTATTTTCTTATATATTTCAAACAACTGTGCCATATAATTTTGCAATATAAACGAGTGATTATGCATATCCAATAGAAGATGAAGAAAAAAGAAGATGAAAGAAGCTTATAGATGGATATATCTATGGATATAGAAGGATATATATCACTCCTTCAATAATTATTATTAGTGTGAAGAAAATATTTTGATCTGTATGTTATTTGTTAGATTTAAAATATATAGACTTGATATATATAATTAAGTAATGTAGAATAGTTAAGTTAAATCATTTGAAAGAACTGTGTTATATGTTTTATTTCCAAAGAAAAATTTTATATTTTTTCATATTATATTGTTAATTAATCATTCATGCTTCCAAATGCTTTAGCAATATATTACTTCTGTAGATATATAATATTTACTCTTATTACGTTTGAAAATGTTTAAGTATAATCTGTGATTATCAAGGTTACATTAATTGTTGATTTTAGTGAGTAGTGAAGAAAATCACTTTGCGTTTTATTGACAATATTTCATAAAAAATATTAAATGAAAGAAATTTTTATTTGTACTATTAATCTTCTATCAGTGATTTTATCTATTTGGTAATTAGCCATGAAATGAAACAGAAAAAAAATAACTTCCAAGTACAAAATGAAATAAAAATGAAGTACAAAAATAATATATTTCATGCAACATATATTAATTTTATTTTAAATGAACCAGTTTTCTATGTAAAGTGTGATCGTTGATGTAAATAATTGTAGATTATTAAAAATTTTTATTTATTATTATTTAAAAAATGTTTTCCAAAAATTTATTTTCTATTGTGGTAAGATAAGGGATAATTAATATGTGATATATTTATAAATATATAAAAAATAATGTGTATAAAGTTATTATGAAGTGAAATTTTTTAATTTATTATGAAAAATATGTATCTGTAAAAATAAACTTTAGAAAAAAAGAAAAATAACAAATATATTTTATCATATAAAATGAAAAACAATTAATACATGTTGCATAATTTATCTGTAAAATTTGTACGCTTTCTTTAAACGCAATGTGTTATATGTATAAGAATTATAACAATAAACTTATGTCCTTAGAAATATTACAATATATATATATATATATATATGTATACATATATATATCTTCATTGCAGCTTACATTTGTAAGACAAAAGACTGATGTGTCTTTAATTGAAAATAAGCTGTGTACAATAATAAAAATAAATTAAATGTTTACCTAATAAAAAGAGAAAGCAGGAAGATTTCTTTTCGTTTCCTTGTAATAGGAATTTGTTCTATTGTTGTATTATTATACATATGAATCACTGTATATTATGTATTATTACCATTTGTTGTGTACCTTTATTTGTGTTCATATGCTTTTTGTTTCTTTCTTGTTAATATCAACAACACATTGAGATTAATTATAAAATGATACTTATTTTTAAGTAAAAATAACACATGAGAAAAATGAAGAAGACATGACATCGGATTATTGTTTTTAGGACTAGTTTCTTCAACTCCAGATGCGGATTATGTTCTACTACAAACCAATCCACTTTTTCATTGGGTACCGGTTAATGAAAAGGAAAGTTCTGATGATAGTTCGTGCGACTCAATGATACATCTACATCGTGCTAATTCTCAACATAGCATAGCTTCCCAACGAAGTACAAGATCGACTTGTTCTCACAATCGTAGTAGAAGTTTAAGAAGAAGTGGAAGTCATTGCAAAAACAGACCATCCTCTCTTTTTGTTTCTCCTCCATCTTCACCTCTACCTGCCTTTAGATCTAAATCCACAGACGAATATTACATGGGAAGTAATATACCTTTAAAACCAACATCTTCTATAGCTTCTTCAATGAAGAAAAGACGTTCTGTATCGACGGTTGGTGATGATGCAATAATAACAATATGTGGTTCTTCACCAGCAGTGTCAATTTCTGTTCCACACTCTAGTTTGGAAAAATTATCTAAATTAAAAGACCGTTTGATTGGGACAACTTCGAACACATCTGCAGCTGCTGACAGTGATGACGAATCTACACCTTTGGTATCAGAATTATCAACACCAACGCATTCTCAATCTGACAGTGTCTTTAGAAATGAATTCAGTCCAGATAACACTAGCGATATTTCAGCTGATTCAAATAAAGGTTTATCGCACGGTGGCGAAAGATTAGCTATGAAACAAATTATTAATGATATAGATTAATAAAATACATTAAAGTAGAATGAATTAAGATAGGATGAGAGTAATAAATTTTGATAAATAACTCAAATATTTCTATAAACTTTTATTATATGTAATTCTCTCTTATGAAGTTCTACTTTGATTAGTTTTATGTTCTCAAAGAAAATCAGATCAAGTGATTTAAAGAAAAAAAAAAACAAAAAAATAAAAAAGGAATATCTACTTAAACCTAGTTAGTTTTACAAGTTTGAATTGACCAGATTTATAAATTTTAAAATCTTGATATTTAATAGTTTATTAATATAACATGACTACTATAAATATAAAAAAATTTTTCGCACGTGCACGTTTAATAGAAATAATTAATCAGATATTTTAATTGTAAACATTTCCATTGCGATATTCATTTGAATATCAAGTTTGAGAAAATTAATAATGTAAATATCTAATAAGCTACAAACAAAACAAACTGTTCCAACGTGTATGAATCTTTTTATAACTAGATATAGAAACTAAATTAATCGTCTCATTATTTATATATTATAGAAAAAATAAGTGTTGTTAATTAATTAATAATCTTAATGAATTATAATGAAGAGACCTATTATGTAGGATATAATAGTTAGCTTTGCATATATGGAATTGATATTTAAATATTAGAATTTCCACTTTTAAAAGCAATCCTTTTTATAAATTATATATATATATATATATGTATAAATTTGAAGATATAAAAAACAAACAATATTGAAATAAAATAAATCATTAGATATAAATTGAATTGAAACAATTATAAAAATAATTAACAATTAACACATCGTACGGTTAATAAAATAATAATAATAGCATAACTACTTAAAAGCGAAGAGACGTAAAAAATATTATACACACATATATATACAATATTTATATATATATATATATATATATATATATCATTAGTAAAAATAATTAACAATTAACACATCGTACGGTTA